AGAAAAATGGTACAGAACGAGGACAGAGATTTTTGACCAAGACGATATCTAAGAGATGCAAAGCTACCACTCACTGTCAAATAGCACTTCAGAGTATGAGAGAACAGAAAAACAGTGAGCAGTGATAGAGATACTGAGTCTACATCCCAAATGGCACCCTATTCCCTATTGGGCCCTGGTCAAATGTAGCGCACTATGTAGGGAATAGGGTGCCATTTGGAACGCCACCTAAAAATGATGGTTGTGACAGAAGCCCCCGAAGTGAGTCTCACGTTCCTATACCCTGACCCATGTGTGATTTTATATTGTGCTTATATTTCAACATTTTCAGTAACACTTCTTTTTACAATACTTTTAGAATTAACTACCTGTTATAATCAATTCAATATTAACTAACATTAGTTAACAGTTTGTTGTAGCCTACATACTAAATACTTTTTTTAGAAAACTGTCATAAAGACAAATCAATGTTTATAATATGGCACACTTCCCAGGTTTTGGTTGATGCAAAAAAATGATATTTCTATTACATAATCAATACATCAATCAATATACAACCACTACCATTTTGCCCAATAACTAGCATTCATCATATATCAATACATCATCTGTGACCGTACCGTAAAGTACTCAACTCTGTCCACTCACCAACAGGGGGATCTGTCTTCAAAAGGTTTGGGTTGTTTCTTGTATAATATAAAAAAATGACTTGCCAATTTGTTAAAATTCAGTACATCACGTTACATTTGAACCAATAACTTGCACAAAGTGGGGAAAAAACACAGAGGGTGATTTAGCCTTCATGACACACTGGTATCTATATTATAACAAGCATGCCAAAATAAAAAATAAAACAGAGCGTTACCTAACTGCAGCAATCTCTAATAATAACAACCAAGGCCTAATAGTATCTGTATAGGCAGTTTCTAGACATATAATATGGCACTTTGATTATTGTATTGCATTTGGATATAAAAACACACTGCAAAAAGCACATGCTCCATCATATTGAACGCAAAATATTGTTTTATTAGTAGTACCTTGGTAGTTCTGGGAAGTGCCACCAACCCATGCTTCAAAAACAAACAGATTTGCAAAAGAGTGAACATTTCCCCTAATATTTCTGCTAATAACTGACATAAATTAAACCACTCCCATTCAACAAACACAAAACTCCAAACTCCTCTCAAGTGTTAGAACTCCCAAGCTAAAACTGGTGCCATCTTGGGTGATTTAAAAAATAAACAAATAAATTAAAGTGTTTAAAAATGGCAATAATTGTGCATTTTGTGTCTTGTTAATCCCAAATCTGTTGAGAAAGGCACCTTACGCAGTGCTTGCATCTTCCACACACAGCTGAATCTCAAACAACACAAAGGACCCTGAGTTGACAACCCTTGTTTAGCACCCTTTGGGTCGTAGTCATTAGGGCACACCGTAGCAAAAAGTTTTGCAATGGAAAATGAAAACAAGCAGATCTTATAGGGCAAGTTCAGATAGTAACTACCCTGCTTGCTTCCATTTTGTGCCTAGTGAATACGATTCCAGGTACACATTTTTATTTTTGGGGAACCTTTCTTTGGGGGGCTGGATGTAAATGATTTGAGCTGACCCATCAGCTTTGCAGTACAACTGACAGAAAGTAGGCTAGTCCATTATCACCCCTATAAAAGACACACTTCTGTTTGGAGTAGTAAACTTTATATTGAAACACGGAATGCTTTTGTAAACAAACACTGTTTTGGTGGGGGTGGGTTGAGCAGTGTTAACGCATAGATACTGTGCTGTGTGTACGTTTTGAATAGAAAATAGCTTTTTTTAAATGTGTGATATCAACTAATATCTTATCACCAACAAAGAAATTCAGTGTGTGTGAGTGACCAAATAAAAATTCTCGCTCACGTTCAGGGGCTCCCAGTGTTTTTACTGTCACAAAACAAAGTGTGTGTGTGAAAATGGGCACCGTCACATGAAAACATATTGTAAGAACTTAAAAATACTGTGTGTGTTAGTTTGACACATGGGCATGTTAAACAACAATAAAGCATTGTCTGTCTTCTGTGTTAACAGACATTATCTTTCAATACAAGGCATCCACACTAAACAAAAACTGAAACATCCATTTATCAAATTAATTGTCATCAAGAAGAAATACACCAACAAAAAAAAGCTAATAATCCAGAAAGGAATTCTGACAATACAGTGCCTTCAGAAAGTATTCACACCCCTTGACTTTTTCTACATCTTGTTTTGTTACAGCCTGAATTTAAAATGTATTAAATATAGATTTGTTTTGGTCACTGGCCTACACACAATACCCCATAATGTCAAAGTGGAATAACGTTAGGCGTCCTTCCTAACTCAGTTGCCGGAGAGGAAGGAAACCACTCAGGGATTTCACCATGAGGCCAATGGTGACTTTAAAACAGTTAGAGTTTAATGGCTGTGATAGGAGAAAACTGAGGATGGATCAACGACATTGTAGTTACGCCACAATACTAACTTGACAGAGTGAAAAGAAGGAAGCCTGTACAGAAGCAAAAAAAAAATCCTAAACATGCATCCTGTTTGCAACAAGGCACTAAAGTAATACTGCAAAAAATTTGGCAAAGCAATTCACTTTTTGTCCTGAATACAAAGTGTTATGTTTGGGGTAAATCCAATACAACACATTACGGAGTAATGAAAATGGTTGTCAAGCCATGATCAACAACCAATTTGACAGAGCTTGAATATTTATTTATTTATTTTTTAATGGTCAAATATGCATGCTTCAGTTAGGCTGGCGCCTAGCCGAACTCGGCTAGCATACTCCCTTAAAAGACCTTCGCTTGAAAAACGAGAAAAAAGCGGCAATAGTACGGTTTGTCCATTTTGAGACGCCGTAGCCAGTATACACTTCCTCAGTCAGAATTAATCTAAGATAACTCAAGAAATCTGTCATTAATTTTGACGTTTTGCCAAATATATATATTTTTTACATCTAAAATGTGCATGAAAATGAGTCGTCTCTTGTTGAATGACAGCAAAGACGTTATTTATAGAATCCTTACTGTTGACCAATCACCGACGAAGGGGTGTAGACGTCGGCTCCGAACTTCAGCTTACCTCCAGAAAAAAAATGGTGTGCCCGAACAGCCGGAAAAATCCTGACCGAAGTTCAAAACGTCACAAAATGTCAATTTACATTATAGTCATTTAGCAGACGCTCTTATCCAGAGCGACTTAGTGAGTGCATACATTTTCATACTGGCCCCCCGTGGGAAACGAACCCACAACCCTGGCGTTGCAAGTGCCATGCTCTACCAACTGAGCTACAAGGGACTATAATATATTCACGAACTGGTTCAGCTGGGAAGCCTTTACCCAGAAAGACTCACAGCTGTAATCGCTGCCAAAGGTGCTTCTACAAAGTATTGACTCGGGTGTGAATACTTATGTAAATGTAATTTTTTTGTATTTCATTTTTCAATAAATGTGCAAACATTTCTGAAACCATGTTTTCACTAAGTCATTATGGGACATTGTGTGTAGATGGGTGAGAAATATTATTGTTTTATCCATTATGGATTCAGACTGTAACACAACAAAATGTGGAATAAGTCAAGGGTATGAATACTTTCTGAAGGCACTGTACATGTAAGTAAGTAGGAATTACATCACCACTAGTAATGACATTTATTTTTCGAAAGGTTGTGTTGTGTTGATCGAGCAAACAGTTCTTTTTTTTTAATCCTCTTTAAAAACTTGAAACACTTAAAGACCCTAACAGATGACATTACAACATAATCTACAAAAGAACCCCAAAGTTAACCTAAACCTCTATAGATTCAATGGTATAAAATATAGGTAATCTAAGTGTGCATTTAAACCACAGATTGTCTATTTGTGAATCAGTTCTAAAAAGTTAATGTAGGTAGTCATAGCAAATCTACCTTTTAATTGTGCCATCAATATTTTTTTGAATAAAGAATAAAGCAAAATAGGTAAATACACTGTTATATTTTCATTAATGAAAACCAAGTCACCAACAGCCTTAGAGAGAAAATTGAAAATCTTTACAATGCCTTGGATATTAAATGTGAAAAACCATAACAGCGCAATGAGGGGCATTCTGGTTGATAATCAGACTTGTTTTCAAAATTGCTTTGCTATTCGAGTGGTCTTAGGGTGCAGCCGAAATGGCACCCTATTCCCTACATAGTGCACTACACCTCTGACTAGAGCCCTGGGGCTGAATAAAAATCAGTGCACTAAATAGGGAATAGGGTGCCAACTCGGACGCAGCCTTATAGAATGATGTTTCAGAAGCCAGCATATTGCTAATGGTACAAAGTAGCACCGCGCTGTGCTAGTCCCTGTATTCAAACTTTCAAGTGAACTTTAGACAGAGAGAAGAGGTAAAAAGAAACAAGCAACATAAAAACAAGCAAATTACAAAATAAGAAAGAAAAAATACATAAATCCCACAGGCTTTTAAAACTTTTTTTCTGCGTTTGCTAAATAAACAACAAAAAAAAACAGTAACATTTCACATTGATTTTGCTTGACCTCCCTCCCTCCCATTACATTTATACAGAAAAACTAGAGAAAAATGAAGTTACATGCAAAAACAATTGGTTTGTATCCAAAATGGCAGCCTATTCCCTATATAGTGCAGCACTTTGCACTGGTCAAAAAGGCTTTGGTCAGAAGTAGTGCACTATATAGGGAACAGGGTGCCATTTTGGATGCACCCAATCAGGTTGAGCTAAGGTCAAATTTCATATGTCAAAGGTCAGTGGGGGGTGTGGTCAGGTAGCCTATTGGTCAGGCGAGCTTTAGAGAGACATCAGAGACACAACAATGGTGGGAGGATGATGAGGAGTAGCCGGGAGGAAGAGGAGGAGTTTTGGGTTGGCTTTCAACACCATGAGGACATGCTAGGCTAACGATGAGCAAACAGGCATGGAGATTTTTTCTAAAAAAGGGAAGAAAAAAACATGAAAGGAAAGAGAGAGAGAGAGAGAGAGAGAGAGAAAGAGAGAGAGAAAGAAGTTAGCCACAGCACAATAACCTTTCAACCATGAGGCACCAACAACAATGATAAACAATGCCAATCACCACATAACATAACGACAATTGGGTTTCCCCAAAAACAAAACAATACAGGTTGGACACAGGAAATGACATCACCAGATTAGGAAATGACATCACTAGATGCATGTTAGAGAGTCAGACATGCGCATACACTTGGCATTCAAAGTGATCCATCTTTAACCAGTCAGTCCCTTTAGGAGAGACGTGGATGGATGGAATGATTGGAAGAAGTGAATTATGAAACGAAGTGAGCAGAGTGTGTGTTGTGACAGTCAACAGTGAGCTGCCCCAGCAGCCTGACAAAAAGAATGAGAGAGAGAGAGAAAAATGGAAGCAGAGAAAAAAAGCGAGAGCTTCACATATTAAGAGGTGACGGAGATCAATGCGACAGACGGAAGCCCAAGAGCTCTGATAGTCTGACAGGATGAGGCGTGTGTGTGTCTGATCCTTAGTCAACCCGTCTATTTTAAACCTAGTAAGTACAGATAATGAAATGGTATGGAAATAATCAACTCTGGTGCTCCCTCTTTTATATCACATGACACAAAATACCTTTTCGAACACTGGCTCTAGTGATAGCTATAAATAATAATATAAATTAAAACACACTCTTAAAAATTACATGATGAAACTGCAAAAGGAATGGATGCAGTAATAATAGACATGTAAAGATCATAACCATTTTAAGCGTGGCAAGAGTCGGTATGACACCCACAATAGAAGTACGGAGCCCCTGGAGCTAATTAGGGTTAAGTGCCTTGCTCAAGGGCACGTCGTCAGATTTGTGACCTTGTCGGCTTGGGTATTCGAACCAGTGACCTTTCGGTTACTGGCCCAACGCTTTAACCTCTAGTCTACCTGTCACCCTATTAATTAAGTCTCTGCTGTGGTGATCAGATGGCCTTGGCTTTAGTCGTGGGTTGGGTAGTTGGTTGGGTAGACTTAGACTTACCCTAGTAGTGCTAACATAGAGCCTGGGGGAAAAGGCCCCTGCCCTTGGTAAAATCAGTAGGGTTTGCTGTCGTTCTTGGAGCGCTTCAGCTGCACCTTGAGCCTCTTCATGCCGATCTGGAAGCCGTTCATGGCCTGGATGGCGGCCTGCGCCGACACCGGATTGTCGTAGCTGACAAACCCTGAAGAATAGAGGAAGGTTAGTAACATACCAAACTCAAACCAATGAGGCCAAAAAAACAAGTCTTCAGAGATTTCCATGACAAACCAGGGGCTGTTCCAGATAGCATGATCAATGAGTTAGATAACGGTCCAAACTATTCTGAAATAACCCTAATCTTTTCCAGAAATATAGACTTAAAATCAGAATGGTATAATTGGCTTGACAACCAACAACCCATATTTAATAAAGAAAATCAAGAGATCTGACTGTTTGTCTAAAGGTAGCTGGTTAATGATCCTGCTTTCTACCCCAGTGGCCATTGAGCCGGTAATTTATCATGTTTGGATGCAGCAGACTAGACTACGTACCGAAGCACTTGCTCAGATTGGTCTGTTTGTCGATGAAGACTTTGGCAGAGACGACACTTCCGAAAGGCATGAACATCTGAAGGACATCCTGGTCTCCAAACTCCTGGGGCAGGTGGTAAATGAACAGGTTGGCTCCCTCAGGACCTGGGGGAGAGAAAGAGGAGAGAGCGAGAGGGGAGAGGACCGGAGAGGGCAGGGGAGGAGAGAGGGGTGGAGAGGAGAAGAGAGGTGGAGAAAAGGAGAGGTGGAGAGGAAAGAGAGCGAGAGAGGAGACAGATCAAGAAACAACAGAATCACGTGGCATGAAGCACAGCTGTGGCCATCAGACTGACCTGGGTTCAAAATAGTATTTGAAATCTTTCCAATACTCAATCTGTGCTTGATTGAGCTTGCCTGGAACCAATGGAATAATCCCAAGAGCGCCAAAGCCCACCCATCTGGCACTTGAGGGCCCTGGAGTGAAGTTCCCCTTAGGTGCAGATCTAGAATCAGCTTCTCCCCTCCCCCAATCCTAACCACTGCAAAACTGACCCAAGATCATCGTCCAGGCCGGGGCAACTCACCTTATTCCCACTCGCGGCAGGCTCAAGCAAATGCTCAAAGTATTTGAAAGAAAACCAATACTACCTGACCCCACGTTGTGGTTGTGGTTAGTGTGTGGACTAAGACTCACCCTCCCTCTGGCTCCCGGCTGAAGGAGCAATGAAGGAGAGGAGAGGACGGAGTTTTAGATGTGTTTTTTGACAAAGAGACAGATACTGTTGTGGTACTAAGTAAACATGTGACACTGTGCCCTATGGTTAATCGAACATTTTCTTTCAATGTCACACATCTTTTAGTTGCAAAGCCCATATTGGCTTACAAGAGACTAGTTGAGACACACATGGCCAAAACATTTATATTTACATTACATTTTGGTCATTTAGCAGACTTACAGTAGTGTATTCTACTTAAGGTAGCTAGGTAAGGCAACTAAATTATATATCACAATCAATGTAAGTTAACACAAGACAACATTTGTAGCCTAATTGGTGTGTGGACTGAGACTCACCCTCCTTCTGGCTCCCGCCGGCTGCTCCCTGCAGTAGGGACTGGCTGTAGAGGGAAGGCAGAGCAGAGGCCGTGTACTGCTGCATCCCTGAGTAGGCTTGAGTCAGGGCATCCATGGAGCTCGCCCCCGAGCCGTTTGCCATAGAGGCCCCCAGTCCTCCGTTCATAGCCGCCATACCTAACACAGTAGACAGAAATATAGAATTTATTTGGACAATTCAAAAATACAGATTACATCCACTCAAGTGGATACAACAGCCAGAAGAAAGGCCTTGACACCTAACGTTCTCTCTACCATACGTGTAGTCATACATTTGAGATTAAAATGACACTAGTCTAGTCCTAAACTAAAAAGCTATTTCAATGGAGATTCTCCTAAGCATGCTTTTTAGTCCAGGACCAGGCAATTTGTTCGTAAAACCAGCCCATCAACAGCACACAGGTAAAAGGAGAACACAGCAGCTTCATCAACAGAATTAAGGTATGATTTCAAAGACGGAAACAAAAAAAGGTTGAAGAAAAGGTAGTAAAGTCATTGTTTTTAGTGCGGTACTCACGGTTGGAGTACTCACCGCTGACACCCCCAGTGAGGGCGTTGAGGTTGTTGAGACCCATGGAGGCCCCCGTCAGGCCCCCGCCGAGGCCCTGGGTCAGGCCCAGAGAGGCCAGAGTGTTCATGGCTGCACTCGCACTGGAGCTTGCCGTCTGGCCTGCTGCTGGGGAGGAGAGGGGTCAGAGGTTACTATTAGGTGTCGTTTAAGCCTAGCAACGATGAGGTATAATGGAGTAGATAGAGCAGGCCAAGCAACGGAATAAGAAGTAGGTGCACTCGTAGAGGTGTTTTTTTGGGACATAGATTCATCTTAGTCCTGGACTAAAAAGCAAGTTCAATGGAGAATCTCTATCAAATTGTTATTAGTCCAGGACTAGGTTTAATCTTTGTCGTAAGATTAAGCGCCGTAGATTTCTTTGTGAGCAGTACATTTTTTACAGCGCAGAAAAGTAAGGGAGAAACTAACATTGGCCTCAGACTGCTAGATTACCTGGACTATAGAGAGAGAAACTGGGCTATAGTTACCTGAGTTATAGAGATTACCTAGAGCTCCGTTGGCTGACAGGGCGTTGGAGCCGCCGCCTGAGTTCTGGGCTGCAGAGGCGGCAGCCGCTAACGTGGCCAGGTTCTGCAGCTGCAGCTGGTTCACACCTGGAAGAGGGGAGCGAGAGGGAGATACTGTTTTATTTCAACTTTATTTATTCAGGTATATCAATTAAGAACAGATTCTTATTTGCAACCAAGAGGGGGAAATGGAGCTGCATTAGCTGTCCTTATGGGAGACCAGAAGAGTGGAATCATCCGCATTCAGAAAGAAATGGCAAAAACAAGCAGACTTCATAGCATTGACATATTACAGGAAAAGAGGTGACCCTAGCACACTGACCCGTTTTTTTTATTTTTACCCCTATAGGTTTGTCCCCAGCAGACTTGTGTCTCCTAGAATAGCTACTCTGATTAGTGTTCCGATGATCTCATTCAACGGTAATGTGATTTGAGTGGTTGTGAAACTATGTGGGAGTGAAGCACTGAGTCAGAAGGTTGTTTACATGAACAGTTGTATGTTTATCAGAGTGGGTTTGAGTTGTCGAGGATGGGAACAGGAAAATGAAAAAATGAGTGACTCACCTCCTAGCCTCTGCATGCCACCAAAATTACTCTGGTTACCGGTAGATGTCGCCTGTTGGAGCAACTGTAAAACAAAGAGAGAAAGACAGTTCTAGAACAGAGTAAAGGATAGACTTGTGCTCTTTCCTAATTATTTTTTGTCTTTCCTTGATTCCCTGCATCCTCTCTCCTCGCCTTCTTTTTCAAAACTCATTGGAGGAGAAGGTCCGCGGGTAGGGACCTTGGATCGTCTCCTTAAATGCGGTATGAGAAAAAGGCGAGGATCTTCTCCTCCAATGGAGAGAAAGAGGCGAGGTGACCCAAGGAAAAACTAATTGAGAAAGAGTATGACTTCTCATAATGTCATGCTTTCCCAACAATGATAAACCTGCATGTAGCCTATATTTACAAATATGTATGTCAATGGTTTCAACCTACTGCCAGGTACTGTGGTGTGAGGCCTCCCAGCCCTGCCAGGTTTCCCCAGGTGGAGGCGCTGTTGAGCTGCTGCATCTGTTGGGCCATCTGCTGCTGCAGGCGCCGCTGCTCCTTGTCCCTCTGAGTGTCCGCAAACTTACACACCATGGGAGAGGAGCAGCCCTGTAGTGGGGGAGGGGGAGGAACGAGAGTTAGATTTCACCCAGTCAGGTTCACACACACTATGACATACAGAGACACTATCACAACAGAGTCAAATCTGCAGGGCCAGGCCATTTCTCTGGAATACCCATTGTAAAGGGTGAACTATGCCCTGTGTTAATCTGAGAAATGTATTTCTTTAAATAAACAATAGAACACTGCCATGCACGACTAAGCCAGGCTACATCCCACAGGCAGAACCAGGAAGGGATAATGTTCAGACAGACAAACAAAACACAGCCAGTTACACTTTATAACACTGGAGGGTTTGGCTCAAAAGGAGGATTGGGGAGGGGACTGAGGCTGAGGAGAGTCGACACCACACACACACACAAACAGAGATGGAGGGACATAACAGAGACAAACATATAAACAGAGACAGTCAAACAAGGAAGGACGTGTATGCCAAGTCAAGACATAACGAGATAAGACATTTAGCTACAACTAAATGCATACATAGGATAGCACTGTATTCCGCTGTAACAAACAGACAAGCCAGAGATTGACACATCACTGGACAGACCAGACATAGACATGCGGTATCAGTGTTGTGAATCAGAGAGAGCCAGACGGAGGATTCCTGGATTCAGGAGAAGCAGAAAAGGAATACATCAACAGGGATTTCTGGAAATGTCTCCAATAAAATGGTGCCATCACTACTGGGACATAGATCTAATCTCCGAGGCCCAGAGCTGAGCTAGTTCTATTCTGTTGTTCCTAATTAGGGATCGGTTGGCTGCTTCACTCGGGAGCCTATGACCTGTTAGCTGTCACATTACTCTTGCTCCAGTTCCTGAGCATTGAACTGATTCTACGGGAATACCAGCCCAGTTCTGAAGGGACTTAGTGGGGCAGTTACTCTAATACAGTCCACACATGCCCACAGTACATCTCAGTTAATGCCTAAATGATAGTTGGAGAATCTAGGCTGCCTGATCTACAATGTTTTGAAAGGACCCACTAAGACAGTTGCTCTAATACTGTAGCCTTTATCTCAGTTTAGTTAAGGTCTATTTAATATAATGAGTGGAGTAATGCTTTACTATGCAGGTTAAACCTTGGTAAATAAATACTTTGTAATGCAAGTGGTTTTACAGTTGCTCTGATATAGGACTATATTTCAGTTAATGTATATTGAATATAGTAAAGTCTCTATGCTTTACTATGTAGGCTAAACATGGGTAAATACTTTGTAATGCGAGGTTTAACATTGCCGGGCGCGTTGCCACTTTGCAACCAACACTTCACATAAATAAATAAAATGGAGTAAATAAATAAATTAGTGGGATATTATTGATTCATTAGTCTTCAGCTAAAATATAGATTCAAAAAGATGTTTCTCTCTGTGTGTGCCCTCTTAAAGCTGCAATATCTAACTCTTTGGGCGACCCGACCAAATTCACATAGAAATTATGTTATAGATCTGTCAATCATTGAAAGCAAGTCTAAGAAGCGGTATATCTGTACTATGTGTGCTATTTCTATGCTTCATATTCTTACATTTATGAGTATTTTACTTTCGGTTTTGTACATCAGCTTCAAAACAGCTGAAAATACAAAATGTTTGGTTATTGAAAATATATTTCAACGCGACAAACAATGGACGCTATGTGAGAATTAAAAACAAAAAAACATCAGTAATCAAATCAATTTAAACTAAATGTCAATAATGTAGTTGTCAAAATAATACATAAATAATTTGAAAAAAATGTTTGTGTAAGTTGTTAACCATGTCTAAAAATCAAAATACTGTACATTACCTTTACACCATGAGCCCAAATGTAATGCAAGTGCCATATTTAGAACGTTCAATGCTGTGGGACTGCCCTTTTTCTGAAACCCGCAAAATCGGTGTGTTCATATTTTATCTTTGCAAATGGTATTCCTCACAAAACACGGTATTCCTCACAAAACACGCTAGACAAGGTGGGATCTTGTCCGGGAAATGTCAGTGCAAACGCTTTTACGCGGTGACATGTTGCGTGGTCCCTCTACGACTCGTCGGGAAAACCCTGCAGTATTAGGCTACAGATTAAATAAATGATAAACTTCACAGGGTGGTGAAAGTGCAATGTGATGAGCTTGATGTTCCTTTCCAATAAATATCGAGGGTCTTATACTGGTGACATGATGATCGATGCTTGGCTGTCGTTTAACAAATACAAATAATCTCGCTCTTTTGGCCATAATAATAATAATAATAATAATAATAATAATAATAATAATCTCATCATGTAGGCTATACCCGCACTGTATCTGCAAGCTGTTGGCTTGAGCGCACATGCCAATACCAGAGTGGGCACACTCTGCTATATAACGCACATTTTATTGTTGAAAATGTGCTTGAAACCCATGTAATTTTTGTTTAGTTTCTTGTACATGGGAATTTAAGCGCAAAATGTATTTTTATGTGCACTACGTCATCATGCACTGCCTTTTATACGCAAAAAGTACATTTGATGAAAACACATCTCAGGTGTGGAAATGCTCATATTGTTTTTATGCAGATTTTAGAATATTTGCATGAATCTGTCACCAATTGGATGGAAACCTAGCTAAAAGACACAAAAAAATACATAGCAGGTTACAAAGTACAGCTTCGTAGCTACATTTTGATGTATGGGTTGTCAGGGATTGGTCCAGATTCACCATTCGCCGCCCCCATTTCCATGACGAGTGCTAGCTTGCTAGCTCTGTGGGAGTGCTGACACCATTTGCTGAGGCAACGAGCCGGGCAAGAGCCAGCGCTGCGCCACATTGGTTGTATTGTGCCAACTGTGATTTTTGTGATTGATGGTTACATTCTTTAACCTCTACGGGATCGGTGTCCCGTATACGGGACGGTTGAGCTAACGTGCGCTAATGTGATTAGCATGTAGCATGACTGTTGTAAGTAACAGCAAACCTTCCAGGACATAGACATGTCTTATATGGGCAGAACGCTTAAATTCTTGTTAATTTAACTGCACTGTCCAATTTACAGTAGCTATTACAGTGAAAAAACACCACGCTATTGTTTGAGGAGAGTGCACAACAACAAAAAACGTATCACGGCAACTGGTTTGATACATTCACCTATGAAGGTAAATAATGTACTTACATTCAGTAATCTTGCTCTGATTTGTCATCCTAAGGCTCCCAGAGATTAAATGTAGCATAGTTTTGTTTGATAAAATCCATTTATATTCAAATGTAGGAACTGGGTTCTACAGTTTGAACCCCTGCTGTCACTGCCTCCACACCCACCCCACCCGGCCATCTAGATGTGTGAAAGTTAGTGTATAAGCTCCATCATGTATGACATTCCTGGGAGTGTGTAAACTTACATTTTGTATTACCAAATTATTTTTGTATGTTCTCTATAGTTATGTACTTGAAAATGTATCAATTGACCAATTCGGCACATTTGGGCAAACTTGATACAAAATAGTCCAGTATTGCAACGCTTCACTGGATCAATCTGAAACTTTGCACACACACCGCTGCCATCTAGTGGCCCAAATCTAAATTGCGCCTAAACTGCAATATTTTATTGTGGCCTTTCTCTTGCATTTCAAAGATGGAACCAAAAAATAAATTGAAAACGCATGTTTTTTTGTCTGTATTATCTTTTACCAGATCGAATGTGTTATATTCTCCTACATTAATTTCACATTTCCACAAACTTCAAAGTGTTTCCTTTCAAATGGTATCAAGAATATGCATATCCTTGCTTCAGGTCCTGAGCTACAGGCAGTTAGATTTGGGTATGTCATTTTAGGCGCAAATTGAAAAAACGGGTCAGATCCTTCAGAGGTTAAAGTAAAAACTAGATAAATTCAGTGGGTACAGCCCTACAATCTATAAAAACATAGCTAAATACCAGTTAATTGAAAATGTGTCCCATCTATCTTGCTGTGCAGCTGGCTGGCTAGCAGGCAGCTCACTCAGTCTCTGAGCCTAGGCTAATTATTTGCTGGAAACTGTGCAGTTTATCCTCCTATCACCAAATTAACGTACACCAAAAATAACATTACAATGTAACCCAACTGAGGTGTAGGCCTACCTTAGAAGTAAGCTATGTTATTAGCCTTCTGTGTTACAGTTCAGACTTGGTAATACGTGTGTGTCTTTGTTAGGCTGTGTGATGTGTGTGTGTGTATGCAGGTGGCACAAGCACAGGGTTGGGTGTATTATTTGGCACTCTAGGCCTAATCAGTTGGGCTACTGAATACAACCGTGGTATATACAGCCAAACAATTACTAATTGGTGAATATAAACCCTGATTTTTGTTCATGATTATGTAATCCCAATTATAGTACTCTGTTACCACCTCTGGTGTGTGTGTGTGTGTGTGTGTGTGTGTGTGTGTGTGTGTGTGCGTGCGCATGGGCTGCACCTTACTCCTCAGTGTAAACTCCCAGTTCTGCATAATATATGTTAACAATATGACCAAATACTTTAAATCAGTGGTCACCAACCTTTTCTGAGTCAAAATGCAAGGAAATATCTATATATTTTTAAACATGACTTAAAAAACATAAGCCAATGCAACATTAACCAATTAAAGACCGTACTGTAGCAATGAGGTTTGTGCAGTAGGCTATAGGCCCAATACATTATCACTGCATATTGGCTTTGCTTTAATTGCCCTGCCAATGTTGTTCTTCTCAGACCATTTAGAAATTATATTTAAAAATGTTGGATATATGATCACACTGGTAATATATATTTTTTTGTATTACTTGTGAGGCACAGCTGAGTGAGCATAATAATTTGCTTTATTTTATTTTACTGGACTGATGGCCTGCATCTGATGGTCAGTCTGCGGGGAGGGAGGGAGCAGCGGTGAGGCTGCCTCTCACCCGACTCACCATCCCCTCCTCTCTTCTTCCCTCCGCTGAGAAAAGGGGGGACAGTCTTCCAGCTGATGGCGAAACTTAAGACGCACTGCATTATTTCTGCCTCATGCATCAATTCATGTTGTTACTCCTATGACCAGAGAAAGTGAAATATTCCTTGATATAAAAAAAGACACAAACCGCTAATAATAACAACGGAAGCTTATCGGAATACTTTGCTATGCTCATTCATTACTGCTGCAGTACAGGTTGTAGCGTGAGTGAAAGTAGGGAGAACGCGCATTTTACTGTTTCAAACTGTTGAACAAAGTGTTGACAGTGCTGAATAACAACTTAAACATGAACTTACTAATAAAAACAGCAACTCTTTGCTGTATTCATTGAGTCTCTCTCTAGTCATGGTTTTAAAAGTTTTGAAAGATCACGTTATCAACTTTGCTGTGCGCTCAAGGCTTCTTTTTATGGCCTATGGCTCGAGGAAACTGCTGCAAACTGTGCAGACACGGTGAGCTGATCTATCTGATTGGCCAGCGGTAGGCCTACAAGTGCACTTGATTTGCTCTGTGGGCCTGCCGGGTAGGCTGAGTTCTACTTTCAGACACATGAAATGGTTCAAAATGGGAACACTTTAGCTTCCCGGCGCTAGGGCTGCTGAATCAAGTGCACCTACCGCCAACAGCGCGAAATTAATTTGAAAAGAAATAGGAACGCATGGCTCTATAGTTTTTTTTGTTTTACAGAAATGTTTGTTGATCGACTAGCAGTGCCTTGGAGATCGACCCGGTTGGTGACCACTGCTTTAAATGAATGGGCTTAACATGCTGTATTTGTTAAAATTCCATACAGACTAATTAGCATATAAGTATAAACATTTGCTTAAAGTAGTATACGTTTTATTCTAATTTCATAAATTGTTTCAAATTGTTACAAACTCCCAGTTTGGCACTAAGCACGAAGATTTGTTAATAATAGGACCAGCCTATTTTAAAGTGCCTCATTTGCATTGCAATCCTCATGAAATAAAGTGTTCTGTGCTCCTGAGATGCTTCTCTATAAAATACAAAGTATAACACCAGAACCAGTTTCATTTTGTCCTCCAACACCCTAATAATATTGTCCAAGTATGCTTTGGGTTGGTATATGACTAATGTTCTGTGATATTATGTCTGCTTCCCAAATGACACCCCATTCTTTTTATAGTGCACTATGTTTGACCAGATAAGGTCAAAAGTAGTGCACTATAAAACTTAGTGCACTATAAAAGGGAATAAAGTGTGATTTGGGACAACCTATATAAATCAACCAACTTCTTTTTCCTTGTGAGATACAATTCTCAATTCGCACTTCAACCACAAGGGTGCAGCAGACTGCATAGAGGGACAGGGGAGGGATGAGAAATAGGTGCTAAGGGGTACAGTACCTCCATAGTCTGAGAGTGATGCATGGTTTTGATTGCATTCGCGGCCTGAGCCCTGGTAGAAAATGTGATAAAGGCACAGCCTGTAAGGGAGGGGAGAGGGAACAAGAGGAGGAGGAGGAGGGAGGGACAGACAAGAGGAGGGAGGGAGGGAGGGAGGGACAGACAAGAGGAGGGAGGGAGGGGAGGGAGGGAGGGAGGGAGGGACAAAGAAGAAACAAAACAAGACAAAAGGTTTTGGGACACGTCGTTATGAAATCCCAAATAACACATTACAGTAACAGAGTAACACAGAATGAACGGCACTCCAAGCACACAGAAGAACAACCACTCTCACTGGTTAGCACATGGAAGTAACACAACAATACAGTCACAACAACAACAACAACCACATGAGCACAGTAACATAACAGTAACAGTGAGTGACGTATTATATCACAATCAAGAGAAGCTGTGGATGGATTGGGCTAGTTGGAGATGTGATTACTGGGTGGGTGAGACACTAATTGAGATAACAACAGAAAACAAACAACTCCTCTCACACACACTAAATGGCGATTTCCTAGTAAAAAGATAAATATTCATTCTAAATGACATGGCAACACATGCTACAGCTATGATGACAGACTACAGGGTGAACTGCTGCACTGACAGTTGAGCTCTGCATGTTCTTATATTATTTAGGGATGGGCATTTGACATGTTTTGACTGTTCGAGTACTCACTTTTTTTTTTGTAATCGAGTACTCTAATAAAATGTTTAAATTTTTTAACACAAGGCCCACACTGGAAATAAATATGTGCACATTTACAGTGGGGAAAAAAGTATTTAGTCAGCCACCAATTGTGCAAGTTCTCCCACTTAAAAAGATGAGAGAGGCCTGTAATTTTCACCATAGGTACACGTCAACTATGACAGACAAATTGAGGAAAAAAATCCAGAAAATCACATTGTAGGATTTTCTATGAATTTATTTGCAAATTATGGTGGAAAATAAGTATTTGGTCACCTACAAACAAGCAAGATTTCTGGCTCTCACAGACCTGTAACTTCTTCTTTAAGAGGCTCCTCTGTCCTCCACTTGTTACCTGTATTAATGGCACCTGTTTGAACTTGTTATCAGTATAAAAGACACCTGTCCACAACCTCAAACAGTCACACTCCAAACTCCACTATGGCCAAGACCAAAGAGCTGTCAAAGGACACCAGAAACAAAATTGTAGACCTGCTTCAGGCTGGGAAGACTGAATCTGCAATAGGTAAGCAGCTTGGTTTGAAGAAATCAACTGTGGGAGCAATTATTAGGAAATGGAAGACATACAAGACCACTGATAATCTCCCTCGATCTGGGGCTCCACGAAGATCTCACCCCGTGGGGTCAAAATGATCACAAGAACGGTGAGCAAAAATCCCAGAACCACACGGGTGGACCTAGTGAATGACCTGCAGAGAGCTGGGACCAAAGTAACAAAGCATACCATCAGTAACACACTACGCCGCCAGGGACTCAAATCCTGCAGTGCCAGACGTGTCACCCTGCTTAAGCCAGTACATGTCCAGGCGCGTCTGAAGTTTGCTAGAGTGCATTTGGATGATCCAGAAGAGGATTGGGAGAATGTCATATGGTCAGATGAAACCAAAATAGAACTTTTTGGTAAAAACTCAACTCGTCGTGTTTGGAGGACAAAGAATGCTGAGTTGCATCCAAAGAACACCATACCTACTGTGAAGCATGGGGGTGGAAACATCATGCTTTGGGGCTGTTTTTCTGCAAAGGGACCAGGACGACTGATCCGTGTAAAGGAAAGAATTAATGGGGCCATGTATCGTGAGATTTTGAGTGAAAACCTCCTTCCATCAGCAAGGGCATTGAAGATGAAACGTGGCTGGGTCTTTCAGCATGACAATGATCCCAAACACACCGCCCGGGCAACGAAGGAGTGGCTTCGTAAAAAGCATTTCAAGGTCCTGGAGTGGCCTAGCCAGTCTCCAGATCTCAACCCCATAGAAAATCTTTGGAGGGAGTTGAAAGTCCGTGTTGCCCAGCGACAGCCCCAAAACATCACTGCTCTAGAGGAGATCTGCATGGAGGAATGGGCCAAAATACCAGCAACAGTGTGTGAAAACCTTGTGAAGACTTACAGAAAACGTTTGACCTGTGTCATTGCCAACAAAGGGTATATAACAAAGTATTGAGAAACTTTTGTTATTGACCAAATACTTATTTTCCACCATAATTTGCAAATAAATTCATAAAAAATCCTACAATGTGATTTTCTGGAAAAAAAATTCTCATTTTGTCTGTCATAGTTGACGTGTATCTATGATGAAAATTACAGGCCTCTCATCTTTTTAAGTGGGAGAACTTGCACAATTGGTGGCTGACTAAATACTTTTTTTCCCCACTGTATCTATAGGCTTATGCCAACAGTGCACGACAATGCCTAATTTATCATAACCATTACAACAAATCCTAATTAATTATTTATATTTATATATATATATATATATATATATATATATATATATATATATATATATACATTTTGAAGACACCTGGTGCCACAAAATAATCAGCTGATTAACTCAAAACACCTGCAAAGGGCTTTAAATGGTCTCTCAGTCCAGTTCTGAAGCCTACACAAACATGGGGAAGACTTCAGATTTGACAGCTGTCCAAAAGGCGACCATCGACACATTGCACAAGGAGGGAAAGACACAAAAGGTTATTGCAGAAGAGGCTGGCTGTTCTCAGAGCTCTGTGTCCAAACACATTAATAGAGAGGCAAAGGGAAGGAAAAACTGTGGTCAGAAAAAGTGTACAAGCGATAGGGATCACCGCGCCCTAGTCAAGATTGTGAAAAAAACCCATTCAAAAATGTGGGGGAGATTCACAAGGAGTGGACAGCTGCTGGAGTCAGGGCTTCAAGATCCACCACCAAGAGACGCTTGAAAGACATGGGTTTCAACTGCCGCATACCTCGTGTCAAGCCACTGTTGACCAAGAAACAGCGCGAAAAGCGTCTCACCTGGGCTAAGGAAAAAAAGAGCTGGACTGCTGCTGAGTGGTCTAAAGTCATGTTTTCTGACGAAAGCAAATTTTGCATTTCCTTTGGAAATCGAGGTCCCAGAGTCTGGAGGAAGACAGGAGAGGCACAGGATCCACGTTGCCTGAAGTCTAGTGTAAAGTTTCCACCATCAGTGATGGTTTGGGGTGCCATGTCATCTGCTGGTGTCGGTCCACTCTGTTTCCTGAGATCAAGGGTCAACGCAGCCGTCTACCAGCAAGTTTTAGAGCACTTCATGCTTCCTGCTGCTGACCTGCTCTATGGAGATGGAGATTTCAGGTTCCAACAGGACTTGGCGCCTGCACACAGCGCAAAATCTACCCGTGCCTGGTTTACGGACCATGGTATTTCTGTTCTAAATTGGCCAGCCAACTCCCCTGACCTTAGCCCCATAGAAAATCTGTGGGGTATTGTGAAAAGGAAGATGCAGAATGCCAGACCCAACAACGCAGAAGAGTTGAAGGCCACTATCAGAGCAACCTGGGCTCTCATAACACCTGAGCAGTGCCAGAAACTCATCGACTCCATGCCACGCCGCATTAATGCAGTAATTGAGGCAAAAGGAGCTCCAACCAAGTATTGAGTATTGTATATGCTCATATTTTTCATTTTCATACTTTTCAGTTGGCCAACATTTCTAAAAAATCCCTTTTTTGTATTAGCCTTAAGTAATATTCTAATTTTGTGACACACGGAATTTTGGATTTTCATTTGTTGCCACTTCAAATCATCAAAATTAAATGAAATAAACATTTGAATGCATCAGTCTGTGTGCAATGAAAAATAATGTACAAGTTACACCTTTTGAATGCAATTACTGAAATAAATCAAGTTTTTCAAAATATTCTAATTTACTGACTTTTACCTGTATATATACATATACACACACACAAAGTATGTGGACACCCCTTCAAATTAGTGGATTCGGCTATTTCAGCCACACCCGTTGCTGACAGGTGTATAAAATGGAGCACACAGCCATGCAATCTCCATAGACAAACAATGGCAGTAGAAATGCCTTACTGAAGAGCTCAGTGACTTTCAACGTGGCACAGTCATAGGATGCCACCTTTCCAACAAGACACTTCGTAAAATGTCTGCCCTGCTAGAGCTGCCCGGTCAACTGTCAGTGCTGTTATTGTGAAGTGGAAACGTCTAGGTGCAAAAACGGCTCAGCCGCGAAGTGGTAGGCCACACAAGCTCACAGAACAAATCTGTCCTCGGCTGCTACACTCACTACCGAGTTCCAAACTGCCTCTGGAAGCAACGTCAGCACCAGAACTGTTCGTCGGGAGCTTCATGAAATGGGTTTCCATGGCCGAGCAGCCGCAATCAAGCCTAAGATCACCATGCGCAGTGCCAAGCGTCGGCTGGAGTGGTGTAAAGCTCGCCCTCATTGGACTCTTGAGCAGTGGAAACGCGTTCTCTGGAGTGATGAATCACGCTTCACCATCTGGCAGTCCGACAGACGAATCTGGGTTTGGCGGATGCCAGGAGAAAGTTTCCTGCCCCAATGCATAGTGCCAACTGTAAAGTTTGGTGGAGGAGGAATAATGGTCTGGGGCTGTTTTTCATGGTTCGGGCTAGGCCCCTTAGTTCCAGTGAAGGGAAATCTTAACACTACAGCATACACTGACATTCTAGATTATTCTGTGCTTCCAACTTTGAGGCAACAGTTTGGGGAAGGCTCTTTCCATACAGAAATGGTGTGGAAGAACTTGACTGGCCTGCAGAGCCCTGACCTCAACCCCATCGAACACCTTTGGGATGAATTGGAATGTCGACTGCGAGCCAGGCCTAATCGCCCAACAACAGTGCCCGACCTCACTAATGCTCTTGTGGCTGAATGGAAGCAAGTACCCGCAGCAATGTTCCAACATCTTGTGGAAAGCCTTCCCAGAAGAGTGGAGGCTGTTATAGCAGCAAAGGGGGGGACCAACTCCATATTAATGCCCATAATTTTGAAATGAGATGTTTGACGAGCAGGTGTCCAAAATACTTTTGGTCATGTAGTGTATATTCAGTCAATTAAAAAAGCAAGTGCCATTTAAGATTAATTTTTTGAAACCGTAATATCAACTGGTTATATTATATCATGGAACACAATCTCTAAAAAGGCAGTATGGCTGTGTAATGGCATAGCCTTGCTTTGTTAATTTAGCAGACAAGACGCTCTTATTTCCAGAGCCCTTACCACAGTCAAGACACCTATTTTATAGTAAAAAAAACATGTAATATAACAGAATAACATTTTTCCAAATTAAAAAAGTTGAAATAGTGAATATTTGAAACAGGGATCTATTTGGCGAGTTGAAAGACTCTTTTTTTCAGAGTTACAAAACAAAATGTCTTCTTTTCAATATACAGATGTTCAATTGAGTTTACTCTGCCTGTTCTTTGTAAATGTCTAAATGGATGAACAATTCCATATGAAACACTGCATGGTGATGAATTACGGCCACAACATCTGTTTGGTGAGAAGGCCTAGGCTTAATGATTCTGATGAAAATACGCTCTGTCTTTATCAAACTAATGTTTTTGCGTATTTTCAGTGTGGAACCTGTCTATGTTTAGGGGAGTTATAGCCTAGGCCAGGGGTACTCAACTCTTACCCTACGAGGTTCGGAGCCTGCTGGTTTTCTGTTCTACCTGATAATTTATTGCACCCACCTGGTGTCCCATGTCTAAAATCAGTCCCTGATTAGAGGGGAACAATGAAAAAACGCAGTGGAACTGGTTTCGAGATCCAGAGTTGAGTTTGAGGAGGCTAACCAATTCTAAATGGCACAAGCAATTCACAAAGTAGCCCAAGTGGAAAATAGACAGGACGCATTTGTTCCAAACCTGCAGCAACTGTTGGAACACATTATCCTACTTCAACCAGTCCATTTTGAATTTGTGATAAAACTGTCGTCATTTGGTAATAAATGTAGCTTTTGTATCCCATCAGTTAGATAGGTTTTTATAGGCATTTACTTATGTACGCCAAATGGGAGCTTGTGTGTGCACTCTGCACGCGTATGTGTAGGGAGCGGTCGGAACACAATAGAGTGAATGAGACACGGAGGGGAAAGGAAATTTTGGGAGCAGAACTGTGTGATGCTTGGCTTGGTTTCTTTTTTGTTGTGTCCCGCAAATTCACATGTATAAATGGAACACTAGAGTCAAAGCAAATTAACGTCGTCTTCAAGACAACATTAAAAACAAATTCGGGACAAGATTTCACTTGCCCGTACAAGCAGCTACAAAGCACATTCCACCAAATAGTTTTACAGTATGTATATATATATATACTTTTTTTTTTTTTAATCTCTGGTTAAAGATCGAGCTTTGTACTCTAACTCATACCCATCCCTACTATTATTGCATTTGTCTGTCTCACTTGCTTTTATGGCGTTTTATGCGGTACAGATAGAAGTTGTGGCAGGCAGAGGTGGAGCAGTGGAATAATTCCATCCTTTGTGGAGCACTGTGGGGGCGGTGCAGTCCTGATTGTGTGTCCCTGTGTTGCCTGCCAGCTGAGACCGGCCTAGAACACCAGCAGCCAGGGGTTGCCGTGGCGACGGCTGGGACTATTGTTACGGGCGGGGGCGAGAGCTGAGAGTGGTGATGCACCCCCCCCTCCCTCTTCTGCAGAGCGATGTAGGAGGTGGTGAGTGTGTGTCACGGGGAGAGTCATATCGGGGGGGGGGGGGGGGGGGGGGCAACTTTGGGTGAATAGGATTTGAATATAGGGTCAGGGTGGGAAGGGTGGAAATAAAAGGTTTGGGAGCAGTGTAGTAAGGCAGGCACTAGACAAGTCTGTCTTGTTCTTTTATCGGAGGGTGCATCACCACTCAGGTGGGTTATAGTAGTGACTTTCAGTACATTTGACATACATTTCTGGTATGTGTATTATGATCCCTGCAGGAATTGAACCCAAGACCTTTGCGTTGGTTCCTAGCGCCACGCTCTTACCAACTGATCCACTGACACAGGACCACTTGGTATAACGGGAGCGTGGAGGAGAGTGACATGGCGTTACCCACAACCCACCTCTGCTCAGACCGTCGGGTCCTCTGAGAATTCGGCATTCCTCTATCTGTCCGAAAGCAGAGAACATCATCCGGACCTCGTTCTCGCCGTATTTCTTTGTCACCATTCCAATGAAGAGCTTTCTGTCTTCCACCGCTGAAATGGAGAAAGAGAGAGGAAAGAATGAGTGACAGCAAAACAGCGATAGCAAAATGGACTATGCAACCTTCCACCTCTCTTTTTGCTAGTTCAATCTCTCCTCTCCCCTCCTTGCAACCCCCTCACTCAATGAGTCAGCTCACCCCTTTTCGTTCTCTAAATCTCTATCTTACCGCTTCATCTCTCCCTCCTCCCCAATCTCTTTTTCTTTAGACGGATGACTGCTTTATCATCCCCTTATCCTCCCACCAGATCCCTCTGTACCCGCTTTCCTCTCCTCTCGCTCCTTGCACCCTCTCGCCTTCAAAAAGCTCCTTTAATCCTAGTAACCCCTGACACCCCTGAAATACTGTATTATTACACATTTACAGCGCAGAGTACCGTTTCGGCAGTCTGGTCCCAGATCTGTTTGTGCCATAATAGCCAACTCCTATGGTTGTTGTCAATCTTTGGCAGCACAAACATACGAGACCAGACAAGTACTATTTGGGCCATCATCTGGGAACTAAAATATAGAGACAATCTCCTTTTTATTTCCTTTACGAATCTTGATTCTTCTTGGTGCAATTTCCTCACTTCCTTTCATGGTAGCTGTGTTCTGTTTTCAGGGTGTGACCCAAATGGCATCCTATATAGCGCACTACTTTTGACCACAGCCCTGGTGACGCAAACCCTTCTCTTTAACCGGCCGGCCGCCATGTTTTGTTTATACACACTTTAGCCTGTGTCACAGCGTATCTGCAGTGATGTCACTCACCATTTGTTTTCTCGCTGTCAGCGGGTTTCATCTGGATGGGATGATGCATCTGTAAGGAGGAGGAGAACATGGAAGAAAACATGTTTAACATCACGCTATCATCAGGCGTGTCATCACAATGACACACACTAACCAACTGTTAGTTACCAGGACGATGAACAGGTCAGGTGCTTGGCTATGTTATTTAGTTCTCTCTCTCTCGCTCTCTCCCCCTGGCCCTTTCTCAATTGTTTAAACATTTTGTTCTCTCCTAGCCTCCTCTCCTTCACTGATCTGAAAGAACTGACAAGGTGAAAGATAGCCTTATAATGAGCTTAACTCCCCCGTATTGTTTTCACCGGTCAAGTCTCACCTGTCGAGCTCCACCTTTTCCCATCAGTGCAGATGAAGGAAAGGAGGTGAGGATGGATTTTTAGACAATTATTGCTCTCTCGCTCATTATTACCCTTCTTCCTCCACCTCATCCCCCTCATCTTTCAGTATCTTTCTTGTTCACTCGCCACCTCTCAGATTCTATTATCCTTCACACTATACTGAGCTATAGAAGATATGTCCACTGGCTAGTGGTGTGGCTCAAATCCTCATATGCAATTTCTCTCCTCTTTCTTTGGGTTGGGTCAGAGCAGTAGTCATATGATTGCAGTTATTGATTCTCCCTGTCGTCATCCTTTCTGGATCCATTTCATACGTTTTTTTTTCCCACAGTCCCCAGAACAAATGCAAGGAAACATACTAGGGCTTACTCCATTTAGTCGACTGGTCGATTGTTTGGTTGATAGACTGTTGGTCGACCGAGATTTCTTTAGTCAAGCCGTAGCAAAAAATTTTATAAATTAAAAAATAATGGTGTACAAGACACCCGTCTGATTGGCGCCTGTCTGAGTGGACTGATCCATTGTGGAGGCCATTGGGATGGCACAGTCCATCAGTCTAAGACATATGCTACTGAAATTGTATATGGTTATATTATGTAAGAACGGTGCATCACAAAACAACCCATGGCTTAATTGTCTAAGAAAAGTGAGGCGAGAGCAAAACCCAACTTAATTATGTCTATAATCAATAGCCTAACTGTTAAATGTGCCTGGCTTTATAAATCATCCATATACAGTACCAGTCAAAAGTTTGGACACACCTACTCATTCAAGGGTTTTTGTTTATTTGTACTATTTTCTACATTGTAGAATAATAGTGAAGACATCAAAACTATGAAATAACACATATGAAGTCATGTAGTAACCAAACAAGTGTTAAACAAATCAAAATATATTTTATATTTGAGATTCTTCAAATAGCCACCCTTTGACTTGATGACAGCTTTGCACACTCTTGGCATTCTCTCAACCAACTTCATGAGGTAGTCACCTGGAATGCATTTCAATTAACAGGTGTGCCTTGTTAAATGTTCATTTGTGGAATTTCTTTCCTTCTTAATGCGTTTGAGCCAATCAGTTGTGTTGTGACAAGGTAGGGGGGTATACAGAAGATAGCCCTATTTGGTAAAAGTCCATATTATGGCAAGAACAGCTCAAATAAGCAAAGAGAAACGACAGTCCATCATTACTTTAAGATATGAAGGTCAGTCAATACGGAAAATTTCAAGAACTTTGAAAGTTTCTTTAAGTGCAGTTGTAAAAACCATCAAGCGCTATGATGAAACTGGCTGTCATGAGGACAGCCACAGGAAAGGAAGACCCAGAGTTAACTCTGCTGCAGAGCATAAGTTCATTAGTTACCAGCCTCAGAAATTGCAGCCCAAATAAATGCTTCACAGAGTTCAAGCAACAGACACATCTCAACATCAACTGTTCAGAGGGGACTGTGTGAATCTGGCCTTCATGGACGAATTGCTGCAAAGAAACCACTACTGAAGGACACCAATAAGAAGAAGAGACCTGCTTGGGCCAAGAAACACGAGCAATGGACATTAGATGGGTGGAAATGTGTCCTTTGGTCTGGAGTCCAAATTGGAGATCTTTGGTTCCAACCGCTGTGGCTTTGTGAGATGCATGTGTATTTCCCACCGTAAAGCATGGAGGAGGAGGTGTGATGGTGTGGGGGTTATTTGCTGGTGACACTGTCTGTGATTTATTTAGAATTCAAGGCACACTTAACCAGCATGGCTACCACAGCATTCTGCAGCGATACGCCATCCCATCTGGTTTGGGCTTAGTGGGACTGTCATTTGTTTTTCAACAGGACAATGAACCAACACACCTCCAGGCTATGGAAGGGCTATTTGACCAAGAAGGAGAGTGATGGAGTGCTGCATCAGATGACCTGGCCTCCACAATCCCCCGACCTCAACCCAATTGAGATGGTTTGGGATGAGTCGGACCACAGAGTGAAGGAAAAGCAGCCAACAAGTGCTCAGCATGTGGGAACTCCTTCAAGACTGTTGGAAAAGCATTCCAGGTGAAGCTGGTTGAGAGAATGCCAAAGGGTGGCTATTTGAAGAATCTCAAATATAAAATATATTTTGATTTGTTTAACACTTTTTTGTTTACTACATGATTCCATGTGTGTTATTTCATAGTTTTGATATCTTCACTATTATTCTACAATGTAAAAAAAATTAAAAATAAAGAAAAACCCTTGAATGAGTAGGTGTGTCCAAACTTTTAACTGGTAGTGTATATCTACAGGAAAAATACAGATCATGCTTCTGTTGCCTGTTTGAGTGTTTGTTTAATAGCTTACTGATTCCATGAGCACCAAGCCTCACGCAACAACTTCACAAATTTGGCTGTTTTTAATATTTGCTGTAATAAAGGTGTTCGACTTTTTCATTAGACCAGCCTCTCTGGTATTATTTATAATTTATTTAGCGTTTACACTGTTCCAAATTGTCCGAAAAATTATAATAATAACAACAACAACAACCACCCTCCCTTTTCCTTGATCATCTCCTTGTTATTATTACTATTATTATTATGATCATCATTCTAATAATAAGTAATGTCATTATCATTAGTAGGCTTAGTATAAGCAGCCTTCTTTAACCACCATCGAGCTGTAGGCCTAAGAGCGCATCCTGTTTATCTAAATACCGTCATTTATTTAAGCCTATATTTCAATGCTTATATAGGCTACTGTATCAATCAATAATTTATTCGTTCATGTCATCACACTGCATGCAAGTCATTCACGAAGTGAAACGCAATCAAGCATTTTAGTTTTAAAATAAAATAACAAAGCGACCATTGAATAGTTAGCGTAAACAATATATACGCCTAAACCGTTCCATTTCGGAAATTGCATTCACGAATGAATGAGACTGTTTTTAGTCTTTGCTGTAATAAAGGCTTTACAAAAAAAGTGTTACAGACGCTCTAGTACGCTTATAATTGATTTAGTGTTGTTTACATTGTTTCAAACGGTCAGAAATATTATATTGTAATTAACAGCACCTGTTTGGCACACATAATATGCACGCAGCGCTTGCTCCATACCTTTATTTTTTTCTTGATCTGCAGTATTTTCTACAACTAGTCACATTTATTCCACACATCTGACTTCCCCTTTACCTCCTGAGCAACCAGTAAACATTCCCCCGTTTCGAGTTTATTTATCACGTCCTCTGCATACATTTTGCTGTCACATGTGTTACGGTGTTTAGAGTTTGTTATAACCAATTTATTGATGTGATTATGATATGCTTTAGGTCAGGCCCTATTGGTCACGTGCATGCGATGCATACATGTGTCACGTATAGAGAGCAAGGGTTGATGGGATAGGGAATGTTTTTCCTAAACAAATGAAGGATTTCGGTAACATAACTCTTCAGTCAGAAATGGCTGTAATTATGTTGCAGCTTCAGCATCACCGACTGCGCTATACACACTGTTGATGTGTCTGAGCCAGGCGGCAATCAAATCAATTGCGGTCGGACTCCCTCTAGTCATTTGTGTGTCTTAATTATTTAATCAAACAGTTAGCTTAAAGCATCAGACAAGCTCAGTGCATATAGTTGATTTGATTAAAACACATAGAATGTGTCTATATATGGAAAAATACACGTTTAAAAAAGAACAGACGACTCAATTATTTTTTGTCAGGGACAGCCCTAAAACATAAAGTACTATACAGAGCCATGATTGCATGGAACTCCCTTCCATCTCATATAGTGCAAGTGAACAGCAAACCTGGTTTTAAAAAAACAAATAAAGCAACACCTCACGGCACAACGCCTCTCCCCCATGTGATCTAATTGTGTGTATGTACTGAGATGTATGTGTAACTGATAGATGCACACACACTACATGTTAATGTTTTTAAATGTATGTAAATTGTAAAGTATTTTGTCTGTAATGTCTTTTTACGTTATGTGTTGGACACCAGTAAGACTAGCTGTCGCCATTGGCGTCGGGTAATGGGGATCCTAATAAAATAAAATGCATCTAAAAGTGTTGCTCTCTTCTGGCCTGCTTCTCAATGGATGCATCCCAAATGGCACCTATACAAGTGTCGTCACGATACCAACATTTTACTAATGATACAATACCAGGCCAAGTATCACGATACCGAGTAGTATCACGATACCGAGTAGTATCACGATACCATGAAGGGAAGAATTCAGTGGCCTAGCGTGCTGTTCGTCCCGTCCCCAGGATGCGTGTTCCTGTTTTCTAAACATTATGCGTATATGGTACACAAAAAATCTGGCACTAATATTCACACTTCTTCTCAATACAACACATATTGAATTTCATTTCACACTGTATAATAGAATACTGCATAGAATGGCTAATTTGCTCATATTTGCAAAGGCCCACCTGTGATTTGACTGGTGTAATGGGAGAAAGGAATATACATGCAAAATGATCTGCATGTCATTGTGGCAGTTAAGGGAAAACACTGCATGAAACCTTCTACTCTTCAGTTAACACACAGATACACACTCTCTCGGTCTCCCTCATAAAACACACACCACCACTCTCTCTCCCACAAACATGCACACACTGCTCCCAACTTAAAAAACGTTAGGCACCAAACAGAACGTAAGGAGCACCAGAATGAAATCGATTTTTGATATAGTTATGCCTTTACGAATCCTACCTTTGAAGCACATCTCATGAGTAGCACACCCTTTTCCTTTTTTCCTGGGCCAATCTAATTTGCCTAAACCTACTGTCAAGTTACCAGGTGGTTAGCTAGCTAGGTAAAATGACTGAACAACGTTGTTTGTTATCAAACCAATAATTAGCAGGCCGGGATTAGTTTAAAACAGCCCACAACATGGTTTGTGAAATTATATCAAATGTGCGCGAAATCGCGCAGGAAGAAAAAAGGTCGGTCCGGTTATAGGAGTCATATTCTTTTAACCGTTTGAGCTAGAGACAAGACGATTTCTTTGCTGTAAAGATTCAAGCAAGCCTGTCGCAAAGCTGTTTTTCGTCTCTGGCACTGCTGCATGACAGCGAACTTGCAAAGCCTATACTCAGACTGGCCTGTGCTCTTGGTTTATTAGGGATGAAATTATATACAATGTATCAACTTTACTCCCTCTGTGTACTGCTCCAATGTATCAAATGTAACAACAGGAGACTGATCAGGGTCTCCATCCCCAATCGCCATCACAGCTAAATTACATTTTAAAAAACTGATGGAGGAATAGATTTGCAGGAAGAGCAGACGGAGAGAAGCATGTGAGTGAGGGCTGGTAGGGGATGCAGCTGGCTGACTACAGAAAGCATGAAAGTGAAGTGAACATTGGACTGGTGCATAGCATACAAGAAACTAGCTGCTGTTGCTTAAAAGATTTACTTAAGTAACTTACTTTATAAACATTTTATAACAGGCGCCAGCGGGTGCTTTAGATCGGTAGGGCCGAAAAAGTTTGTAGTATAATATGAAACGGTACTATGGTATTCTAAAAATGTTGGTTATCATAAGTACCATGACGTTTTGGTACCATGGTATTACTGTGGTGCCGGTATACCATACAACACTAGCCTATATAGCCCACTACCTTTTACCAGAGGCTTAGGGAATAGGATGCCATTTGGGGTACAACCAATGTTCACTGGCCTTTAAAGTGATAGTTCTTCACTTGGGAATGGAATGCTAGCCATTCGGTCCAGCATTGCTAACATGTGATGGGCCATATCTGAGCTAAAGCTTGAGCTACAACAAGAGGTTGGCAGAAAATCCAATCCATCTCTAAATGACATATTTCCACCTGCAACTTATTTCCCCTGGCTCTTCCACTAGATCCCTTAATACGCTGAAGAAGAAGTGGATCTGAAGAGCTAATCTTTTGGATTAGATATCTACACCTGCCATATTGGCACAGAGAAGCCAGAAAGAAAATAGGAAAAATATGGAGTGAAGTGGCTAGATTTTAAGCAAGGGGAATAAGGATATCAGCAGAGGGCATGGTTTCAAGTTCAATTTATTTGTCATGTGTAAAGACTATGAATTTATTTGCAAATTACGGGGGAAAATAAGTATTTGGTCAATAACAAAAGTTTCTCAATACTTTATTATATACCCTTTGTTGGCAATGACACAGGTCAAACATTTTATGTAAGTCTTCACAAGGTTTTCACACACTGTTGCTGGTATTTTGGCACATTCCTCCATGCAGATCTCCTCTAGAGCAGTGATGTTTTGGGGCTGTCGTTGGGCAACACGGACTTTCAACTCCCTCCAAAGATTTTCTATGGGGTTGAGATCAGGAGACTGGCTAGGCCACTCCAGGACCTTGAAATGCTTCTTACGAAGCCACTCCTTCGTTGCCCGGGCGGTGTGTTTGGGATCATTGTCATGCTGAAAGACCCAGCCACGTTTCATCTTCAATGCCCTTGCTGATGGAAGGAGGTTTTCACGCAAAATCTCACGATACATGGCCCCATTCATTCTTTCCTTTACACGGATCAGTCGTCCTGGTCCCTTTGCAGAAAAACAGCCCCAAAGCATGATGTTTCCACCCCAATGCTTCACAGTAGGTATGGTGTTCTTTGGATGCAACTCAGCATTCTTTGTCCTCCAAACACGACAAGTTGAGTTTTTACCAAAAAGTTATATTTTGGTTTCATCTGACCATATGACATTCTCCCAATCCTCTTCTGGATCATCCAAATGCACTCTAGCAAACTTCAGACGGGCCTGGACATGTACTGGCTTAAGCAGGGGGACACGTCTGACACTGCAGGATTTGAGTCCCTGGCGGCGTAGTGTGTTACTGATGGTAGGCTTTGTTACTTTGGTCCCAGCTCTCTGCAGGTCATTCACTAGGTCCCCCCGTGTGGTTCTGGGATTTTTGCTCACCGTTCTTGTGATCATTTTGACCCCACGGGGTGAGATCTTGAATGGAGCCCCAGATCGAGGGAGATTATCAGTGGTCTTGTATGTCTTCCATTTCCTAATAATTGCTCCCACAGTTGATTTCTTCAAAACAAGCTGCTTACCTATTGCAGATTCAGTCTTACCAGCCTGGTGCAGGTCTACAATTTTGTTTCTGGTGTCCTTTGACAGCTCTTTGGTCTTGGCCATAGTGGAGTTTGGAGTGTGACTGTTTGAGGTTGTGGACAGGTGTCTTTTATACTGATAACAAGTTCAAACAGGTGCCATTAATACAGGTAACGAGTGGAGAACAGAGGAGCCTCTTAAAGAAGAAGTTACAGGTCTGTGAGAGCCAGAAATCTTGCTTGTTTGGAGGTGACCAAATACTTATTTTCCACCATAATTTGCAAATAAATTCATAACAAATCCTACAATGTGATTTTCTGGAAAAAAAATTCTCAATTTGTCTGTCATAGTTGACGTGTACCTATGATGAAAATTACAGGCCTCTCTCATCTTTTTAAGTGGGAGAACTTGCACAATTGGTGGCTGACTAAATGACTCCTGAACAGCTAATCATGGCTACCCGGACTATTTGCACTGCCCCCCCACCCCATCCTTTTTACGCTATCTTACTCACTCAAGCCATTTCTATACAAACCGGGGAGGCTGGCTGTATGAAATGGTGTTATTTTCGAGAGAAGGGGACCAAGAGAAATAGACAGAGGAAATAAAGATATCATGGAAGTGGCTTGGCTTCAAGTTGATTTACCATGTGTTATGATGACATGATAACATGGGAAATCATTACTCACTCGCTTGAGTGCTCACTATAAAAACAAAAACAGGAGAGACAGTTATGCACTTATGAAATGTGTTGTTTTTCAGAGAGAAGGGAACTAAAAGAAATGGACAGATGGCCCTCTCTGTATGGGGACTGGGGTCACTTGCCAAGGAGAGGAAGGCACAGAAGGAGGGAGTCCGTGCAACAGACCTACCTGGGTTCAAATACTATTTAAAAAATCATTCAAATACTTATTGTGTTTGCTTTAGCCTGCCTGGAGTACCAGATAGGTGGGATCCGGGATGTGCACTTGTGTGACTCTTCTATTGGTTCCATTGCAATAGGCAAGCTCAACCAAGCAGAGATCAAGTATTTGAAATGATTTCGAATAGTATTTGAACCCAGGTTTGGCATCCGAAAGGGACACAAGCTTTTCCACCAACGCGGCATCAGACTTCAGTCAATGCCAGAAGCAGCATGACTGGCAGCTGTCAAAAGACATGCACTTTATTTGAAAATGCTTTAACTGATTAATGATAAGTGATATTTATACTGTAGGTTTGTACAGTATGTGTTATCTAATCTAATCTCACTTCGATCATCACGCTACTGTACATTTCAGGGTTGGGGTCAATTCCATTTAATAATAATAAATAATAATAATAATATGCCATTTAGCAGACGCTTTTATCCAAAGCGACTTACAGTCATGCGTGCATACATTTTTTTGTGTATGGGTGGTCCCGGGGATCGAACCCACTACCTTAGCGTTACAAGCGCCGTGCTCTACCAGCTGAGCTACAGAGGACCATAATTATAATTCCTGAGCTACAGAGGACCAGGATTATAATTCCATTTAAATTCAGTCAGTTCAGGACTCTAGATTTTCTGTTGACTTCCTGAACTGAAATGGAACGGCCCCCAACCCTGAATGGTATAATTAGTACAGTCTCCCTTTGCATATCACACTGGTACAAATTCTTTAACACTTAGTCATTCTCCTGATTGATGACATTTTCACAGTTTCCAATAGAGTGGAGTTATTGATTTAATTGAAGACTGAGGTAGTTTAGTATTGATTTAATTGAAGACTGAGGTAGTTTAGTATTGATTGAATTGATTGGAAGCAGATAGAGTAACGCAGGGGATAGGGGAGGTAGATTTATCAAGCTTTAACAAGCAATTGCACTTGTTCCAGTTGACTGAGCTTTAATCTTGATCAGATAAATCAGGTTAGAATGAAGACTCTTTCTGTTTCTCTGTACAGCTGTCCCCCTGTTTTTCTCTTTCCTTCTCTCCTCCTGTCCCTCTCTCACTCCCTCCATCGCTCTCAGCAGATTCCATTGTTAGGAGCAATATTCTTCATACACTTTCGTTTTTGTATTCCTTAAAAAAAAATGAAATTTAGTTTTGCATCTATGATTCATGAGGACAAGCATGATTAATAATTTGTTCCACTTTATGACTGGGTAGCTGTGTGTGTGTGTGTGTGTGTGTGTGTGTGTGTGTGTGTGTGTGTGTGTGTGTGTGTGTGTGTGTGGGGGGGGGGGGGGGGGGGGGGCTAGGCATGTCGCTAGCTAGGCTCCCCTTAAGTAAAGCACCCTTTACATGACTCTCCGTGTGTGGGTCTTGGTGTGCACACAGCTGTGTGATTATCACTTCAGAAGAGGGAGCTAGGTTCAGGTCAGTTCTTGTGGATAGGAATGGCATGGCAGGGGCTATACGGTGTGTGTGGGATGTGGCTCAGTGAGCTCAGTCTACATCCATCCATCCATCCAAGTGCAGCAACACAGGGGAGCAATGAGGTGCTAAAGGCGGCACACACACACACACACACACACACACACACACACACACACGCTTCCTGCTTACTCACCCCTGTTAAGGTCTTTATATTGTGCAATGCATTCTGGGCCTCCAGGGCGGCTTTTCTGGTATAAAATGTTACAAAACAGCATCCTGCAGAGAGAGAAGGGGGGAAGATATTTTTTTTAAATTTAAATGACAGAACAATAAGAGTAATGTAACTCTAAACACCAGTGCTGTTTTAAGACAAGGAATGGAATCATAATTAACTGTTGTACATACAGTAGACATACTGCACAGCATGCTAGGTGCCTATAGCGCACACAAACAGCACTTGCAGTGAAAGTAGGCTATGGGCAAGATAAGGAGATGGAGTGACGGATCAGGGTCATAGTTGACACACGTGACTGTACAGTACTCAACAGAGCACAGAGAGCAGAGAGCAGGAGACCAAGGGGCTATCTGCCTGTCAGGATCACTGAAGTGTGGCAGAGAGAGGCTACAGTGAAGCTACTCAGAGGCAGGCAGCCACTGTACCGTACCGACAAACTATTGAATGGCTCTCCGTTACATAAGTGTGCATACACACATACAAATAGGCAATACATCCACACTCAACAAGAATGGGAGGGGGGGAGAGAGAGCGCGAGAGAAGAGAGAGCAAGCAAGCAATAGAACAAGGGAGGGAGATGGGGGAGGAATAGGAGAAAAAAAATATATACACTCTCATCCTTCAGTCCCAGCAGACCGCAAGTGGCGTTCCAGCCTGTCAGTTTCTCTGGGCTGGCAGAGCGCACACACACACACACACACAGGGAAGTAGAGTACTGCAGCGTCTCTGACCTACATAGTGTTGTATTGCTGCTGCTCACTGTGGAGCACCCTCTCAGGCCGTGCGCTTGTGCTCGAATGATGCTGTTACTGTGGAGTGGAGCTCCCTCTCGCTCTCCCAGGCCTTGATTGGGAGCTGCGATATGCTAACATGCATTGAGTTGCTCTGTTCTCATCTCTAAGAGGCTGCTGCAGTGTTTCCCCTATATTCATTCAGCAGCGGTGGCATATGAAGATAAAATAAATTGACACACCTACTCATTCCAGGGTTTTTCTTTATTTTTTACTATTTTCTACATTGTAGAATAGTGAAGACATCAAAACTATGAAATCATGTAGTAACCAAAAAAGTGTTAAACAAATCAAAATATATTTTATATTTGAGATTCTTCAAAGTAGCCACCCTTTGCCTTGATGACAGCTTTGCACACGCTTGGCATTCTCTCAACCAGCTTCATGAGGTAGTCACCTGGAATGCATTTCAATTATCAGATGTGCCTTCTTAAAACTTAATTTGTGGAATTTCTTTACTTCTTAATGTGTTTGAGCCAATCAGTTGTGTTGTGACAAGGTGGGGGGGTATACAGAAGAGAGCCCTATTTGATAAAAGTCCAAGTCCATATTATGGCAAGAACAGCTCAAATATGCAAAGAGAAATGACAGTCCATCATTACTTTAAGACATGAAGGTCAGTCAATACGGAAAATGTCAAGAACTTTTAAAGTTTGCTCAGGTGCAGTCGCAAAAACCATCAAGCGCTATGATGACACTGGCTCTCATGAGGACCAGCCACAGGAAAGGAAGACCCAGAGTTACCTCTGCTGCAAAGGATAAGTTCATTAGAATAACAGCACCTCAGATTGGAGCCCAAATAAATGCTTCACAGAGTTCAAGCAACAGACATCTCAACATCAACTGTTCAGAGGAGACTGCGTGAATTAGGCCTTCATGGTCAAATTGCTGCAAAGAAACCACTACTAAAGGACACCAATAAGAAGAAGAGACCTGCTTGGTCCAAGAAACACGAGCAATGGACATTAGATGGGTGGAAATCTGTCCTTTGGTCTGGAGTCCAAATTGGAGATCTTTGGTTCCAACCGCCGTGTCTTTGTGAGACGCAGAGTAGGTGAACGGATGATCTCCGCATGTGTGGTTCCCACCGTGAAGCATGGAGGAGGTGGTGTGATGGTGTGGGGTTGCTTTGCTGGTGACACTGTCTGTAATTTATTTAGAATTCAAGGCACACTTAACCAGCATGGCTACCACAGCATTCTGCAGCGATAAGCCGTTCCATCTGGTTTGCGCTTAGTGGTACTATAATTTGTTTTTCAACAGGACAATGACCCAAAACACACCTCCAGGCTGTGTAAGGGCTATTTTACCAAGAAGGAGAGTGATTGAGTGCTGCATCAGATGACCTGACCTCCACAATCACCCGACATCAACCCAATTGAGATGGTTTGGGATGAGTCGGACCGCAGAGTGAAGGAAAAGCAGCCAACAAGTGCTCAGCATATGTGGGAACTCCTTCAAGACTGTTGGAAACACATTCCAGGTGAAGCTGGTTGAGAGAATGCCAAGAGTGTGCAAAGCTGTCATCAAGGCAAAGGGTGGTGGCTACTTTGAAGAATCTCAAATATAAAATATATTATGATTTGTTTAACACTTTTTTTGGTTACTACATGATTCCATATGTGTTATTTCATAGTTTTGATGTCTTCACTATTATTCTACAATGTAGAAAATAGTAAAAATAAAGAAAAACCCTGGAATGAGTAGGTGTGTCCAAACTTTTGACTGGTATATATATACAGTGAGGGAAAAAAGTATTTGATCCCCTGCTGATTTTGTACGTTTGAGACATGATCAGTCTATAATTTTAATGGTAGGTTTATTTGAACAGTGAGAGACAGAACAACAACAAAACAAATCCAGAAAAACGCATGTCAAAAATGGGCGCTGCAGGATTTCAGTCCTTCACGGCGTAGTGTGTTACCAATTTTTTTCTTGGTGACTATGGTCCCAGCTGCCTTGAGATCATTGACAAGATCCTCCCGTGTAGTTCTGGGCTGATTCCTCACCATTCTCATGATCATTGCAACTCCACGAGGTGAGATCTTGCATGGAGCCCCAGGCCGAGGGAGATTGACAGTTCTTTTGTGTTTCTTCCATTTGCGAATAATCGCACCAACTGTTGTCACCTTCTCACCAAGCTGCTTGGCGATGGTCTTGTAGCCCATTCCAGCCTTGTGTAGGTCTACAATCTTGTCCCTGACATCCTTGGAGAGCTCTTTGGTCTTGGCCATGGTGGAGAGTTTGGAATCTGATTAACTGATTGCTTCTGTGGACAGGTGTCTTTTATACAGGTAACAAACTGAGATTAGGAGCACTCCCTTTAAGAGTGTGCTCCTAATCTCAGCTCATTACCGGTATAAAAGACACCTGGGAGCCAGAAATCTTTCTGATACTTATTTCAAATACTTATTTCCCTCATTAAAATGCAAATCAATTTATAACATTTTTGACATGCGTTTTTTTCTGGATTTTTTTGTTGTTATTCTGTCTCTCACTGTTCAAATAAACCTACCATTAAAATTATAGAATGATCATTTCTTTGTCAGTGGGCAAACGTACAAAATCAGCAGGGGATCAAATACTTTTTTCCCTCACTGTGTGTGACGGGATGGTAAAATGTTTTCAGTGTAAACTTAAACGAATAAACCAGATAAAAGTATGTTGAAAAGATAATGGAGCTATATATTTTTTAAATAAGATCTTTGAGAACTAACAATTGCCATAAAAACTAAAAATGAAATGGCATGGGGCCCCCATTTACTTTGTTATAATGGTTGAGTCACTGAGATCGCATAAGCCACCACTGCAGAGTTTCCTTTTCCTCTCTGTGTCGCTTTCCTCTCCCTCTCGGTTGTTTAGTGCTACCCCCTAGCGATCTGCTGAGGCTAAATAAACCATGCAGCTTTCTCTCTCTCTCTCTCGCTCTCTGTCACTGTCTTTTCCCTCCGCTCTCTCGCTGTGCTTCCCCTCCCTGCTGCTAAGAGGCTAAATAAACCATAGGGCTAAGAGCTAAGCACGATGGTTATCATGTCTTTATACCCTGCAGTCAGAGACCCTGGCGTCATCATGACCTAAAAAACACAACGCTACAGAATCAGACCATTCTCAAAATAGATAGGGGCTAAAACAAACAAACAGACCCAAATTGAAGTGGGATTTAATTGGATTGATTCCAACAGAATCGGGATGATTCAAACAAAAGCAAGATGGATGACACAAAGAGGAGGGGGAAAGGGAGTTGAGGAGGAGGGTATTATCCTCTCATACAATGTGCTCTATATTAGGCTTGAGCAGTATACCGTATACCGGGGTATTTGGAAATAGCCACGGGATGGTTTTTCAATACCGTCAATAGCATTGAAACTATTTCTTTGTTTTTCAATACATTTTTATATTTGTAGTTACTTTTTAAGTAAATAACTGCAATCAACTTGTGCAATACTTTAGGAGATAAAGCAGATCGCGTCTTTCATTTCATCTGTCACATTATTTTACATGATGAAGCTAACCATAGTTCCCCAGAACAGTTGAGCGAGTCACATGTTTGTTTGTAAATAGTACAACAGGAGAAAGTGGGAGCAGGGGAGTCCAGCTGTGTATTGACAGGTGTCACGTTTTATATTGAAAGTGTTTTTTTGCTTCAATAGAGTGATCAGGGGCGTGCAACTATAGTTTTCCTTCACAGAAAATACATTAATGCAACACATTCAGCAGAAAATAGCTTCATCGTCATCAGATGACAACAGAAGTGCAACGCTATTTGGCTGGCAGCCACACAAGTAAATCAGCTTACAATGAAAAAGCAAGGTCTTTTTTCGCAAAAAAACGAAGCATGGCCATAATATTTCTAATGTTTATCATAGAAAGAATGTAGCCAGCTACATTTCCTTGTTTTGCTTAAAGTCAATCTCACATTTTACCGGAGAAAAGTAGGCTGGCTACACCGAGAAAAGTAAATACACATCAGTCAGAGGGCTGTCTGCTGATAAGATTGCCCATTTGTGAATTCCCATCCGAGCCAAGTGCAACTGAAGCACGAAATTAGTCTGATGCCGAGCAGAAATTACAATAATTAACATTTTACATCTGCATTTACAAAACAAGATATTTGTTATGTGTTATATTTGTCCTGCGTGAAATAATCTGAATTCTGCATTAACTTAACTCCTAAGTTTAACTTGCTAGTTATCTAAGTAAGTGGATGAATTAATAAGGAGACGGGGCATCATATAGTGTGAGTTTTCTGCCGTGTTTGAGAAGCCACAGCCCTTTGGATGAGTTATCTGTACAGCTGCCACCATCTTGATTTCCTTGCATTTTTCCTCCTCTCCATTCTCGGCCTGTCTTCTCCTCTCTTCTTTGAGCAGAGCAGGCAGGCCCGTTGCCCTAGCAACTCCAGACTCCACCCAGACACAGCGTATAGCCTACACATGCTGCTCCAGAGCCAGTACTGTTCTTCCTTCAAAAGAAGCATGCATCAAAACTTTGTTCATTTGCACAATGTCTCTCGTTCACATTCGCTTGTAAAATGTCCAAACTCACCAGAAATGACATTCGATAGCTCCTACCTATATATACACAGTACCAGTCAAAAGTTTGGACACACCTACTCATTCAAGGGTTTTTCTTTATTTGTACTATTTTCTTCATTGTAGAATAATAGTGAAGACATCAAAACTATGAAATAACACATATGGAATCATGTAGTAACCAAAAAAGTGTTAAACAAATCAAAATATATTTTATATTTGAGATTCTTCAAATAGCCACCCTTTGCCTTGACGACATCTTTGCACACTCTTGGCATTCTCTCAACCAGCTTCACCTGGAATGCTTTTCCAACTGTCTTGAAGGAGTTCCCACATATGCTGAGCACTTGTTGGCTGCTTTTCCTTCACTCTGCGGTCCGACTCATCCCAATTGGGTTGAGGTCGGGGGATTGTGGAGGCCAGGTCATCTGATGCAGCACTCAATCACTCCTTCTTGGTCAAATAGCCCTTACACAGCCTGGATGTGGAGGAGTGTCACCAGCAAAGCACCCCCACACCATCACACCACCTCCTCCATGCTTTACGGTGGGAAATACACATGCAGAGAACATCCGTTCACCCACACCGCGTCTCACAAAGCCACGGCGGTTGAAACCAAAAATCTCAAATTTGGACTCCAGACCAACGGACAAATTTCCACCCGTCTAATGTCCATTGCTCGTGTTTCTTGGCCCAAGCAGGTCTCTTCTTATTATTGGTGTCCTCTAGTAGTGGTTTCTTTGCAGCAATTCGACCATGAAGGCCTGATTCACGCAGTCTCCTCTGAACAGTTGATGTTGAGATATGTCTGTGACTTGAACTCTGAAGCATTTATTTGGGCTGCAATTTCTGAGGCTGGTAACTCTAATGAACTTATCCTCTGCAGCAGAGGTAACTCTGGGTCTTCCTTTCCTGTGGTGGTCCTCATGAGAGCCAGTTTCATCATAGCGCTTTGTTTTTTGCGACTGCACTTGAAGAAACGTTCAAAGTTCTTGAAATGTTCCGTATTGACTGACCTTCATGTCTTAAAGTAATTATGGACTGTCGTTTCTCTTTGCTTATTTGAGCGGTTCTTGCCATAATATGGACTTGGTCTTTTACCAAATAGGGCTATCTTCTGTATACCCCCCCCCCCCCCCCCCCCACCCCTACCCCTACCCCTACCATGTCACAACACAACTGATTGGCTCAAACGCATTAAGGAAATAAATGCCACAAATTAACTTTGAAGAAGGCATTCATTCCAGGTGACTATCTCATGAAGCTGGTTGAGAGAATGCCAAGTGTGTGCAAAGCTGAATCTGAAATATATTTAGATTTGTTTAACACTTTTTTGGTTACTACATGATTCCATGTGTGTTATTTCATAGTTCTGATGTCTTCACTATTATTCTACAATGTAAAAAATAGTAAAAATAAAAGAAAAACCCTTGAATGAGTAGGTGTCCAAACTTTTGACTGGACCTAATATATATAAATAACTTTATGAGCTGGATTGCCTGTCTTTACACAATTCATTTACTTTCGTTGGCGCTTGTTAGTATATTTAGCTAGCAGCTTCCATTGAAATTCGCAATTACTTGTGCTAATTTCTTTAGTATTCTGGTAATAGACGCCCAATGTTTTTTTTTGGCATCGCCTTGTGTACTAAGCCGGTAATACAGTATATCCCGTATGAGAGAAGGACAGTGTGACGATATGAAAATCTGGATACCGCCCAACCCTACTCTATATTCAACAGCACCCAGGAGACACTTGTCTAAGTATACAGAAACCTCATTTGGTGTTTGACAGATGCCTGGGTATCCATCTATCTACATTAGTTTATACAGTCTAATAAGCAGATTTATTCTAATTTCAATGGGGGGGGGGGGGGGGGGGGGGTTCAATTTCAATGCAGGCTCTTGCTTAGAACAGTGCAGTATAATATCACCACAGCTCAGCAGAGTCTCAGAGGTACAAAGTTGGGAACAACATACCTGAGCAAATTCCAATGACAACTCTCCAGCCTGCAACTGTGAGATTAGGCCTAGCGTTCTCTCCCTCCCTCCATTCATCCCTTCCTCCCTCCCAACTCTGAGCGTTGGCAGTGCCAGATAGACCAGACACAAAGTCCCAACATCAAAGAGAGGGATCCACAATCCACATCAAAACCACCAGTTGGTGGATTAAGGCTTTAAATCCATATTGAATCCCTCACATCAGGATTGAGACAGTGAATAAATGGGAATACGCCTGGCCGCATTAAAACTTATTTTCACTTCACATCACAGGTCATATTTACCGGTGGTTAATTCCGGAGGGCTCCGCACTTTCAGTGGCATGCACACGCACACACACACACACAGTCGCAAAAGCTTTCAGAACTGCAGGCTTCCACTTGGCTGTCTCGCCTAATTGCGAGCCTAAACGGAACCGCTCAACTCAAGCACTCTTTCTAAGGTGAGTGCATCGATGGATGTCTTAATGGAAAATTGCAGGCAAATAACACTCCTTCCTCTCTCCCCTCTGTCCCTTGCTCACTCACTCACTCACTTCTTTACACACCATCTCTTAACCACCCGAGTAAAGAGAAAAACTGTTTTCCATAATGCACAGGAGTAAGAAGGGTTGTTATTTGGTATAACCCTGAAAACACAACAGAAGGTTCTATTATGTTCAAAGTAATAGACTCAGGAATATAGCGCACGCACACAAACAGCTTGCCGCGCCTGGCCCAGAGGTGTTGTGTTAACACCGACATTGAGTGATGTTGGCACAGTGTGTGTGTGTGTGTGTGTGTGTGTGTGTGTGTGTGTGTACGCGCATGTGTGTGTTGTGAGCCACAGGCTGTGTGTTGTATTGAAGTGACCTCTTGGCTATTCATTATTGGTGTCACAAAACAAAGTGCGTTTGCACGAGCATGTGTGTGTGTGTGTGTGTGTGAAAGCCCCTACACCTCTGTTTCCATCTTCTCTTTGGCTTCTAGGGCCTAGGCTATTGTAAAGTTATGCTGGTATAGAAAGGGCTGCATTAAAATACATTTAACATTGAATTACCTTTGCTCTGGGGGGGTGTGGCAGTGCGGTCTCGGAGGATGTTGATTTGGTGCACGGCCCCGTAGGGCTCGAACAGCTCCTTGAGCTCCGTTTCCGTCCAGGAGCGGGGGATCTGGCCAACGAACATCTTGATGGAGTCATGGTCAGGGGTATCCAGGTTCTCCATGGAACCATTCATCTTGCTGCTGTTGCTGCCGTTGCTGCGAGGGAGAGGTGGAGAGGAAAGAAGGATTTAGTACAATATTTCGTTTAGGATAATTTAGTACCAGGGCCTACCATCAAACTGCTAGCTTTTTGGTGGCGCAGCTGGCTAAGGTGTTTCAAGAGGGCGGTCACGTGTGTTTGCAAGACAGAGGATGCAATAACTCGTTTCAGTGCGAGCAGGTGAGCAAGGAAGCTTTACTGTTGAGCGGCAGCGTATTGGATGTTACACAGGTACAAAAAATAATATCAGGTCGCACCGTGTTATTGGCAGAACATTTTCTGCAAAAGCATGTGCAACGTGGCATTAACATCTCCTAGCGATAGGCTAGTTTTTCACAAAAACCTGTCCCATGGTACTACAGTTGCTTTTTACTTACATTTTAGAGAACGAAACTGCAGCCAGTCTGGCTGACCGACAATGACAATCGCACATCCTCACTAAAAAGACCGGACAATTAGGCTTGGGAGGTATACAATTTATACCAGTGGAGGCTCCTCAGAGGAGGAAGGGGAGGACCACCATCCTCAGTGAATTTCAGAAAAATACAAATAGTGAAACATTTAAAAAAGTTAATGTTTTTAGATAAAACTACACTAAATATATTCACGTCACCAAATAATTGATTCAAACACACTGTTTTGCAATTAAGATCTACAGTAACCTCAACAGCACTCTCTAGGGTAGCACAATGGTGTAGCCGGAGGACAGCTAGTTTGTGTCCTCCTCTGGGTACAATGACTTCCTTACAAAACCTCATAGGCTCATAGTTCTCACCCCTTCCATAGACTTACACAGTAATTATGACAACTTCCGGAGGACGTCCTCCAACCTATCAGAGCTCTTGCAGCATGAACTGACATGTTGTCCACCCAATCAAAGGATGAGAGAATGAATCTAGTAATGAAAGCCAGCACTGCAGTGCATAAAATGTGGTGAGTAGTTGACTCAAAGAGAGAGAGAAAGACAATAGTTGAACAGTTCTGAACAAATTAATTTCTTCAGAAATTGAGTGAGAGAGATAGCTATATTTTGTTGTATTTTTTACTTTCACAGCTAGCGAACGCAGCTAGCTAGTGTAGCCTACTGAAACACCCGGCTCAAACAGAGAGGGATGCTATGTGAGTATTATGTAGTAGCCTAAACCTATTAATGTTACATTGAGCTGGGTGAATGGAATATGAATAACAGTCATCCAATATTCTGTAAAAGAAATAAGAACAATAAACATGTTGAGATGTGTCTGTTACTTGAACTCTGTGAAGCATTTATTTGGGCTGCAATTTCTGAGGCTGGTAACTCTATTTAACTTATCCTCTGCAGCAGAGGTAACTCTGGGTCTTCCATTCCTGTGGCGGTCCTCATGAGAGCCAGTTTCATAATAGCGCTTGATGGTTTTTGCAACTGCACTTGAAAGTTCTTGAAATGTTCTGTATTGACTGACCTTCATGTCTTAAAGTAATGATGGACTGTCGTTTCTCTTTGCTTATTTGAGTTGTTCTTGCCATAATATGGACTTGGTCTTTTACCAAATAGGGCTATCTTCTGTATACCCCCGCTACCTTGTCACAACAACTGATTGGCTCAAACACATTAAGAAGGAAATAAATTCCACAAATTAACTTTTAACAAGGCACACGTGTTAATTGAAATGCATTCCAGGTGACTACCTCATGAAGCTTGTTGAGAGAATGCCAAGCGTGTGCAAAGCTGTCATCAAGGCAAAGGGTGGCTATTTGAAGAATCTCAAATATAAAATATATTTTGATTTGTTTAACACTTGTTTGGTTACTACATGATTCCATATGTGTTATTTCATAGTGTTGATGTCTTCACTATTATTCTACAATGTAGAAAATAGTAAAAAAAATAATAAACAAAACCCCTTGAATGAGTAGGTGTGTCCAAACTTTTGACTGGTAATAAATAAATAAATAAATAAATAAATAAATAAATAAATAAATAAAATATATATGATTTGCAGAACATTTGCTTTAAAACTGCAACATTTTCTCTCAGCTGCATGGCAAAATGTGTAGAATCGCAGAAAATCAGCTTTTAAAAAAACAGCAGAAATGTCTCAGCTCCATGAAATGTGTAGAATTGCAGGAAATTGGCTTAAAAATGCAAACATTTCCCTACACCGCCAAGATGGGGTCCTCTAAAATTGCCACACCCACCACCGAAACCCCTTTTTGATCCAGAATAAACCCTGGTTGTGTACGTTTAATCCTTGTATTAGCCTTCTGTGGATTTCTGTGCCTGATAAGTATTTTGTTCTATTTCATTCACCAGCAAACAGACAACGCAATAGTACTTTAACTTCCGCTGTTTTAAAAACAAACAATTTAACACGAGCCACACACACAGCTTTCTCTCTCTCCCTCTTTCTCTCTCAGTGGGTCAGCGCTATGCTGCATGGCCGGGCCCTGAGAGGAGATCAGCATTCTCAGGGTGATCAAGTTAGGGCCAGCCTTAAAGGGACTGATGGAGTGTCCGCAGGCCAGACCACTGAGGCCAGGCAATGTACCACAGTTTAACGTACCACACAGCCCAGCAGAAGCCTCTCACAGACCCCCTACTGAGACAGAAAGGCAACTAAGCAGCAGGCCAGACCAGGCAGCATAGCGTACGTATCACACTGTGCCCACTGCCTAGTCCACTACACACTAGAAGCCTCTGTCAGCACATGCCCCCACTGAGCTAGGCTGGGAGGCTGAAGGGGCAGCCTCTCACAAGCCCTGACCATAGCCCCCCCCCTGACTGAGCCAGGCTGGGAGGGGCCAGGACGCCACGACTCTGGCCCTGCTACAGTCTACTAGGTCAGGGAAGGTATCATTTTACATTTACATTTTAGTCATTTAGCAGACGCTCTTATCCAGAGCGACTTACAGGAGCAATTAGGGTTAAGTGCCTTGCTTAAGGGCACATCGACAGATTTTTCACCTAGTCGGCTCGGGGATTAGAACCAGCGACCTTTCGGTTACTGGCACAACGCTCTTACCCACTAAGCTACCTGCCGCCCCAGGTATCATTCACTCACATTGCACACGCACACTAGACTGTGCCAGGCGGGCCAGAGGATCACGTGTGTGTGTGTGTGTGTGTGTGTGTGTGTGTGTGTGTGTGTGTGTGTGTGTGTGTGTGTTAGGGCTGGGCAATATAGCCAAAATATCATATCACAGTGTTTTTTTTTGTGTGTTTTTAACAGTATTTTATGTTTTTGAATACTAAAAGTTCTACATTTGCTTTAGGAGTAGCACATGACCCTAGGGTGGCAACACATACATTCTAAGTGATTTCAATGGGTCTTTCTCCATTCTGATTGTTTTATACTGTTCAATTAAACTTCAACCCCCAAAAAATGTCTACACTTTCATAGATTTCTGCATTTCCTGCCTCATTTGAGATCATTTCCACACTGCCACGTAGGGCTGCACGATATGGGTAACAAATCTAGGCCATATATTTAACCAAATGTTGCAATTGCAATTTAGAGCAAAACACTTGTGTGAACTGTTGGAATCATGGAAATATAATGATTATTCTAATTCTATATAATAGTGGGCACTTTGAATACAGTGTTGTTTGACATGACAACGAATGAAAATGCCAGGGAGGAGTTATTTTGACAGGGTAGGAACCAAAGTGTTGGTCAGTGTTTCCTAGGGGACCCTATAATCTTTGGCTACATTAAATGTTTTCTCTTTAGGTACTTCATGTAGCCAACATATTCATGCTTCACCTATTCCTCTTTGATTTAGAATATACTGTTACACAAACAAACATGTTGATTTAGGCCTACACCATAATTAGTATCAGGCTGTATAGCTAGCTACGTTTGCTCTGACTCAGTACATTTATTAGCTAGCTAAAGATTAGCGTCTAACACGATTTAGCCACAACTTGCTAAGAAAAGACAAACTAGCAGTTTGCATATATAAGAAGACGAATAGTGTAATTACAGAACATTTGCGAATTTATATTAAGAAGCAAAGCGGAAACCGCATCGTTGTCATCAACATTGTTGCATGACCATGCCGACTGAACACAAGTATATTGTGGTCGAGCAACAACAAATGCGCTCCTTGAGTGACAGGGGGCGGGGCTAGGTCTGTGTGGAAAGCGGCATGGAGAGAGAGGACTCTAGTAGCGAAGTAAACTATAAAAATTGACGTTATACACGGCGTATCACATTTAACAAACCAAACATTCAAATACCATTATAGAAGGTCAAGTAAAAACCCAAAAGGGTCCGTGAATCAATACCGGTATATAGTCAAATACGGTATACCGCCCAGCCCTAGTGTGTGTGTGTGTACAGCCAGATTAGGACCCGAGGAACTCCTGGATAGAAAGCTGGCGACTGGCACACACAGACCTGGTGATTAGTTCTTATGGGATAGTAAGCAGAGGGACTGAGGGAGACAAAGATGAAAAAATAAATAAAAATAAAATAAAAAATACATATTGTAAAGTGGTTATCCCACTGGCTATAAGGTGAATGAACCATTTTGTAAGTCGCTCTGGATAAGAGCGTCTGCTAAATGACGTAAATGTAAAGAGACAGGGAGAGGGTGACTAGGTCAAATAAAGGGACAGAAAGAGTTAAAGTATACAGACCTTTGGACACGAGCCATCCATCTCTTACACATAGAGCCCAAACGCTCGGCCGAGACACCAAGGGACGACCTAAATGACATTCTGACTCCTCACTGTTGGTCCTCTGGAAATCCAACTCTTAAAAAAGACCCAGATCCAACACACTTTACAAATAACACTTCTTTCAGGGGAAAAATGGAGGCACAAGCTTTCCTACTGGAGCCAATACATCCAAACAACGATTTAAAGACACTCACAAAGCCAAGGGGCAACTTCACTGCCCCCCACCACCAACCCCCTGACAGCTATCTGTACAAGATCCACTCAGCAGCAAGGCCTCGGCACAGCAGTGTCGTGGTCAGTCAGCACTAACCGGATGATAGCAGTCCTAAACACAGTGAAGCAGGGAGGTACTATCTGAACTCGTCCAATAAGAAAAGCTCCCTCTCTATTTTCGTTGCAAAAAATGTTTTACCCTCTTAACACCTCTCTAAAAACGCTGGGAGTTAGCAGAGAGAGGATTGTAGCCCATCACCATCTCTCTCCTCAGGCGCTGGTCTAGCTTGGCGATGGAACAGGGAGTAACCTACCAGCTTCCACCATCATCCTTTAGAAATACAATCACTAGAATGGATTAACCCCAGCCTACAGTCATCCTACTGTGATGGGTGCCCATTCTAGGAATTCTATCTCTATGCTATCCCAATGCGCAGCAACAGCAGAAACAATTGCATATTGTTCGGATGCTTGAGAGAACACTATTCACAGATAGATCCCATATACAGTAACAATGGGCCTGTGGCGAGTCAGAGGGACACTTTGTAATCCTCCCATCCAATGCTACGTCTCACTAAACCAGCACAACGGGCATTGTGGTGTGTGACACCATTTATCTAGTAGCCAGATCCAGGCAGCCTTTCTCTGACGACACTTTGCTGAGTGCTTTGCCTGCCTTCTCATACATCTACAATCTCAGACACAGCTGCCTGTCACATAATTAGGGCTGTCCCCGACTAAAACTAATCTTGGTCGACCGAAAGTAGTCTGTTCTTTCGACCAATCGATTGGGCAAAAAAATGTAACGTGTATTTTTCCATATATATATATATATATATATATATGTATATATAGATAGGGTGTGTCTATGTGTTTTAATAAAATCAACTATACATGCATTGAGCTTGTCAACTGACTGGAGAGGAAGCCAGAGATCAAGATAACCAGAATAACTAAAACCTACCCTGTCCCGAACATTCTCCTCCTGCTCCTACTAACTTTCGTAGTTTCTGCCGTTACCTTGTGTAGCCTGTAATAGGCTACACAAGGGAGTCGGCAACCTTTCTCATGTGGAATGCCAATTTATCTTACCAGTTTCTACCCATCTGCGTGCTAGTTATGGTTTTCATATGCAACATTTTTGGGGGAAGTTTCAATTCATGTATAATAACATCTTCATATCTCAAAATCATTGTCAGGTAGTTAATCAAAATGCTATCCAAATCTAAATGAAAATGATACAAACCTAAAAAGTAACTTATATTGCCAACTATTAAAAACATTATAGCCTGCAGGTAGAAAATATCCTGATAAAATAAATATCCTATAAATCACATTGGCTACGCATAGCCTGTCTGCAATGACCTTGAAACATTTTATCAACTATTAACTTTGGTCCTGCCTGAAGCTCCTTGCAACATTGTATAAAATATTCTGGGCCCTCAGTTTCCCGCCACAGCTGTAGGCTATTTGCGCAAGGGATAAGAAGTAATCAGGTAGGCCTATTTTATGATGTTTCCACTGGATCAGAGCATGACATTTTTCCCTTTCACGTTGAGTGGATATCGAAAGGGAGAGAGCTGAAAAGATTTTTCAAATACATTGAGGAACTATTGTCATTCTCAACGGCTGTAAAACCGACTTGGCTTGCTGTTTGAGGTGAAGAAAACATTACTTTGAGAAGCTCCACAGCTCATTAGTGGTGGTACATTAAGCCAATCAGAAATACTATCAGATCCCCAAATAGGCACATTATAGGCCTACTTCTATGCGTAATCAGGTGCACGTCCTTACTCAATATTGACAGGAGCGCGCCAAACAAAAGACAATGACTAAATTGACAAATCTCGTAAATGGAGTTAAATAATAAAAGTCTCACAAGTGTAGCATAGGTTGTGCGCTCTGCAAACAATGTGTCCACTCACTCCAAAAATGAGAACGGTAAAAGACTAGAATAATGATATATTGAATGCATTAACAGACATTACCGTAACCAAACAAACATTGTAGATTAGAAATTAATGGTACATATGTATATAGACACTAACAATCAAACGCAAACAATTCACACAATGAAGTTATGAAACAATGAATGTACACAAATTGGCGGAAGAGAGCGCATTCTGGAGAGAGACGTGCATTGTTCAGCCACATTCCCCTTCTTCTTGGACTGTGCCATCCCCACGGCCTCCGCAATGGACTAGTCTCGGCCTCCGCAATGGATTAGTGCCATAACAAAATATCGATATTTGCTACTGCTCTACAAAAAAAAAATCTTGGTCAACCAACAGCCTACACATAATACAATTATCTTGATAACTAGATGCATGTGGAGTGAATTGCTGAAACATAATGATCCCAACGCTGGATGAACACTTCAACACTACCCAAGCTAGACGTATGGGTGGTCCCGGGAATCGGGACAGTCAGTGCCAGTGGTGGAGTCATTTGCCCAGCCACCACACCAAATGCAAGTTCCAATCCAAATTACTCACAACCTTTTCCCCTTCTTCACCCCTTGCTTGGAAAGGGCTCCCACACATAAATGTCATGAACTGTCACTGGAGAGCTCACTCCAAGTGAAGGGAGGAAGGCAAGGGGATCATTTCAAATGAAACTGGCCTCAACTTGTCCAATAAGAAACAGTTGTTTTCAAGTCGCAACGTGTTTTGCTACAGTGTGCCCCAATAATTATGACCCAGACCAGAGAATGTCCATTAGGTCAGGAGGGCAAATGACCTGGCCCCAAAACACCCCGGAGCAGCTGACAGGTCCTGGAGTCCGCTGGAGCCTGAGCTGACATTAGCATACCTGCTGTTGCTCTTCCCACAAAATAACATGATTTACCGAGACCATATGCCTGGAGATTTGCTGTGGTCTGACCGCAGAAGCACGTCAGCTGCACTTTTCCTAGTAGCTCCCATTATAGAGGCTGTCACCGAGGCAGCACCGAGCCACCAATATTATATACTAGACTACTTGTCATCAGCCACCTTCTCAAAGCTCAAATGCGTCACACATTTGTTGTGTTCTGTATGCATCCTAAATTAATGGACAGTTAAAACCATTAACAACACCATCGACTTGGAATATATGGCTTTTTACTTGGCTTGGTTGGGATCGTTTCAAGACTCTCTACCATCATTTTTTTTTTTTACATTCATAGGCCCACACCGTGATATAATCCAGTGTTGCTTCATGTGTTGGTTCAATTCATAGTTGTTGTAAAGAAGGATCACCTATGTTAGCAAGGCAAGGCTCTCCCTCCTTGGGTTATAATTAGGCTTGGGCGGTATCCCGTATATACCGGTGTATTTTGAAATAGACTATTATTTTCTATACCAAAATTTTTTATATATGCCAAATAAATTCTCTCCAGCTCAGGATGCCAGCTATGCATTTGGTTTGCAGCAGAGACAATCAATCCCCTCCTGAAACAAGAAATTGTGATACATGTTTTTATGTTTGGAAAGAAATAGCGCCCCTTGTGTGCAATGCCGGCAATACCGTGTACCCCAGTATGGTACAGGAACGGTATGAAGGTATGACTATCTGGATACCGCCCAAACGTAGTTATAATTCATGCTCCTTTCCTCAGGAGGGCTCTGGCACTCTCGTTTTATTTGGGGATGAAAAGTCGCAGTTTACATTGTGGAGTCGTGGACGAGCGCTTAACATTTCTGAGGATGAGCAGTCAAGTGAAAACTCGGACTATCCTGAATCGTGATACTTGTTCTTCAAGAAAGCCATAGTAATTTATGTCACTGAGTGCTGCTTCAACATGACCAAGAGAGAAAACCGCATGTTGGAAGGGATCAGTTTGAGCAAGGCAAGGCACAGAAACCACTTATCTTGATCCATAATAAAGTAGTTAGATTTGGGATGCAAGATGTTTTGTAGATCAGGGGTTCTGCGCAGTCTGACTGCAATGTAGCCTTGTCACTCTCAAACACACAGAATATCTCTTCTTTACCACCCCTAACATCAGACCGCTGCCAAGTGTATAATGGGTCTCCATCTCCACAAACTGACACAAGTCACAAAGGCAGGGCCCAGCCAGGTATTGGTTGTCAGAGTGGATGAATAATGACTATCTCCTTATAGAAATACCACTCAACCAGATGCAGTAGCCACAGGGCTGTGTATTCTAGCCTCGGCGCGGAGGCAGTTCGAGACCGGTTAGATCACACAGGCATAGCAGGCTCCACCTCACTCTCAATCTCACTCCAGCAAGGCACCTGACAACAGGCGCCACAGAAATAGCAATGTCTGTTTCTGGTGTGATGTCTGCAAGTCTGTCTGGCCTATGTTCTGTGATATCTGACCAATTTCCATATGAGGTGGCGGTTAGGAGCAGATCACACCGGCAGGGCAGGCTGCACCTCGAGTCACTCCGGCTACGGGCACACACAGCTCTGTGATATCTCATCTGATTTCCATACAAGGTGCTGCTGCCTGCTGGAGGACCATCACAGTGGTACATAATCAGTACATCAGTGCTCTGATGAAGGCCCCATTAAGACGTTTCCATCCCAACATTAACTCCAATTCTGCCTCAATATGGCCTAAATTTCATTGTTGCATTTCCCCTGATGAAGACAGACGTGTCCAATCACGCTGTGAATAGGGCTCCATGTTGACAAGAGGCAGCCAGGGCCTGATGACAAGACCCGCCCCATTAGCTCCATAATCATATGGAGTGTCCCTGGTGACAGTGGTTATGGATGAGGAGGGATGCCACCCACTCTGCCCAGAGTGGATGAAAACACACTTTGGTGATGAAATTTCACTTCCTTATGTTATAAAATACATTTGACCAAGACAAATATAATTTCTTCATGTTCTGAATGATTCAGTGGGGTCTTTCTTTAACATATCATTAACATACAGTACCTAATACATCCGATAATAAGCACCGAGCTCTGTTAACAGAGCAGTGCCACTTCGAGTAAGCAACTTAAGAATTTTGCATGTTGTGGTGGTGGTTTTGATGGGAGACCCTAGTGAATGGGTGAATGACTAGATGGATGATATTCACATTTTCTAGAAGATAGGCAAATAGGAACCTGATTTAGGCTGAAGCAACTCAACTGTGGTCTAGCTGGAGCTAGAATGCAAATCTAGCATCAGGTGAAGAAGGTTGTTGGCAGGAACAGTGCAGGCAGCAGGGATATAGAAAGACTAGAAGCCTGTTACAACCGGCTACCACAAACCAAAATACACTGAAGGCAGACCCAGATAAAACAAAGGTTCCTACTCTGGTGTATTTACGGCTTAGAAAAGCCCCCCAAATAAAGAAAATAAGCTACTACTGTAGTTGTTACAACCAGAGTAAAGTCCTGTTCGAGACGGGCCCTTAACAAAGAAATAACATTCTTCTAAAATAAAAAATAAGCAACGTCACAGAACTCAAGTCCAATTATTTTTGTTTACAGTCTTCTGCTTAGATGGCGTCCCTCCAACGCGTCTTAAAACTGTCAGTCACCAACTAGCGAGCGGCTTTCTGCTCCACTTAGGCCTCTGTCCAAGAGGGAAAGGTTACCCAGCCCACCCACATGCTCTCCTGGCTCCTGCAGCCTATCCAAAGCTGCTGCTCGCATTCTCTGACCTAGCCTGGATGTTTTTTTAAATGTAATTGTTTTCTGTCTTTATTTTTAAGGGTGGATCAGCTTTAATATTGCAGAGAGAGTGTGGGTTCTATCAATGTAATTGTCTGTATATTTGTTTTGTATATTACTTTATGTTTTATTATTGGACCCTAATCCTACCACCCCTCACCCAATTTGAATAAAATAATGAACAACAATGCATAGGCTCCTACTTACATCTTATGCATGCTATATACATGGCCACCTGAATGTTACTGCTTGTCTACTGGTTCTGCGTGTCGTTTCTCCCTGTTGTGTGCACTTGTTCCATCTGGGTCCTGTTCATAAGACACCAATCAAAGAAAACAAACTGAAACAGGGATGGACTGGGACTACCTCGACTTGTCCAATAAGAAATGCTTATTGTAACTTTCCATTGCAAAATGTTTTACATTTTAGTCATTTAGCAGACACTCTTATCCAGAGTGACTTACGGTTAGCGCATTCATCTTAAGATAGCTAGGTGGGACAACGACATCTCAGTCATAGTAAGTACATTTTCCTCAATAAAGTAGCTATCAGCAATGTCAGTGCTAGTAAAAGGGGGGAAGAGTCAAGTGCAAGCTCAGAAATTATTGTAAAAAATGTATGGGGGGGTGGGGGAGCGCCGTGGGATTATTTAAAGATACTCTTTGAAGGGACAGAGAAGAGCTTTGACTGGGCTGAGTGGGAGCTGCCCTCCCGTAGGGGTGGGAGGGCCAAGAGACCAGAGGTGGCAGAACGGGATACTCAGGTTGGGGTGTAGGGTTTGAGCATAGCCTGAAGGTAGGGAGGGGCAGTTGCTCTTGCTGCTCCGTAAGCAAGGTCCATGGTCTTGTAGTGGATGCGAGCGTCAACTGGAAGCCAGTGGAGTGTGTGGAGGAGCAGTGTGACATGAGAGAACTTGGGAAGGTTGAACACCAGGCGGGCTGCAGCGTTCTGGATAAGTTACAGGGGTTTGATGGCACAAGCGGGGAGCCCAGCCAACAGCGAGTTGCAGTAGTCCAGACGGGAGATGACAAATGCCTGGATTAGGACCTACGTCGCTTCTTGTGTGGGGTAGGGTCGTACTCTACGTATGTTGTAGAGCATAAACCTGCAGGAGCGAGTCACTGCTTTGATGTTTGCAGAGAACGACAGGGTGTTGTCCTGAGTTATGCCAAGGTTCTTTGCTCTCTGGGAGGGGGACATCGTGATGGAGGTCTTGGAGCGATCAGGCCTTCCCCGAGAGGAAGATAAGCTCTGTCTTGTCGAGGTTGAGCTTGAGGTGGTGGGTCGACATCCAAGCTGATATATCTGCAAGGCACGCAGAGATGTGTGTCGCCCTCTGGGTGTCAGAAGAGGAGGAAGGAGAAAAGTAGTTGAGTGTCATCCGCATATCAATAATAGGAGAGACCATCATTTACATTTACATTTATGTCATTTAGCAGACGCTCTTATCCAGAGCGACTTACAAATTGGACCATGTGAGGATATGATGAGTCGAGTGACTTGGTGTATCGAGAGAAGAGGGCCTAGAACCGAGCCCTGGGGGACAACAGTAGTGAGAGTATGTGGTGCAGACACAGAACCGCTCCAAGTCACCTGGTAGGAGCGGCCTGCCAGGTAGGATGCAATCCAAGAGTGTGCAGAGCCTGAGACACCCAGCCCTGAGAGGATGGAGAGGAGGATCTGATGGATGAGAACAAACGACAGAGAGTCAGCTTTGGCAGTGCAGAGCGCCTCAGTGGCAAAGAGGAAAGCAGTCACGGTTGAGTGACCCGTCTTGAAGCCTGACTGGTTAGGGTCAAGAAGATCGTTCTGAGAGATAGCAAGAGAGTTGGTCAGACAGCAAACTCAAGTGTTTTGGAAAGAAAAGAAAGAAGGGATACCGGTCTGTAGTTTGACGTTAGAGGGGTCGAGTGTTTGTTTCTTGAGGAGGGGAGTGACTCTGGAGTCAGAGGGGACGCAGCCAGTGGTCAGGAATTAGTTGATGAGGGAAGTGAGAATGTTTCCAGAGATTGTCTGGAGAAGGGAGGAGGGGATGGGATCGAGCAGGCAGGTTGTCGGGCGACCGGATCTCACTAGTAGCAGGATTTCATCTGGAGAAATGGGAGTTTTCCATTGCATGCCCCAATCATGAACGTAACCCTGGACTGGCAGCTGATATAGTGTTGCACAGTATACCAAAACTTTGGTACTTTTTCGATACTAGAACATGAAAACGTTTCGGTACTAGAATGTGTTACTTTCCGTACTTCTGTCAAATGTGTCTCGCGCCGACTACTGATTGAGGATCTGTATCAGCACAGACGATGTCCCATTATAGCGTGAGAGCACCGTGCCTGCTGCACTTACTCATTACTAGCTCTAGCCTGTCCTGAGGAACCGCTGCACTCACTGGGAGTCTGGGCTACGTCACCACTCATGCTGCACAGAAGTTAACACAATTGAATAATTCAACACGGCATGTAGAAATGTTGAAACTTAATTATTGTTCGCTCCCATTCAAGATAATCTTTGCTCGAGCCTCGAAATGAGTGTGTGTGAATGACATCACAGGTCTTAAAAAGAGACCGCATGCACTTTTATAAAAGAAGAGATAGGTTCTTCAATGCAAATGTTGTTGATCAGTACAATAAAATAAGTCCCAAAGGGAAGGGGAACAGATTGATTTTCATCTATAGCCCCATGAATTCAGCCAAAAAATGCTAAATAACTCAACGCATGCACACAATCCTTTTGAATATGCATTCACCTGTATTGTAAATAGGCCTAGGCTACATCTTCATATAAGCAGTTTATCAATAGACTAGAGATTTACCATTCAAATAAATTATTACATTATGTCGTTAGATTGTTTTTTTTACCAAAGTCAAATTGATTTATCAAAAAATCTAACATTTCAAATGTAATGATATTGAACTCAAAAGATCTGTCTGGATTAGTTGCCATTCAGTGACTTTGGCTAATACCTTTTTTCCCCCTTGATATCGAAGTAAAAAAAAAAAGTGGTATCGTGAAGCTGATTCCACATTAAGCTGATTCCACTCAACTTGGACAGTAGACCCTTCTAACTCATCCCATGTGTTGTGTACCATGAGTCTATGGTCCCCTGGTAGAACATATGCATGCCATTGCAATCGGCAACATTTTATTAGCAAGGCCTATAGCATGTGCCGCTGCCACAGGGACGTTTCGTACAACCTAATGGAATTTACCTTGGTTGGCTGAAGTTGACTCAAATTCCCAAGTCAGTTTCTGTCGTAGTGGTTCAAACTAACATTCAGCCCCCAAAGTAATGTACATTGATATTACGCTGTATATCCTGTTCATGTGTTCTGTAGTGTACCGGCCAACCAGACGTGCTGTATATGGGTAAATAACAACTAGCTATCCCACTGTGTCAATTACAGAAACACCCTGGTGGATGTATCTGATCTTTGCAAAATAAACACGCCACAAAGCCATCTGAGCGTGAAAGTTGACTACAATTACTGAATACTTTGTTGCGACCTCAAACCACACAAACAAAACTTGGAGGCGGCTTTGGATGGGGAAAAAACAGGAGCGAGAAAGAGGGTTGAAGAAGATGAATGCCCATGTAGTTTGCCTCAAACCACACCACACAAATTGGGGAGGAAAAAGGAGAGTGGTGAATATGTACATTAGGCCTATGTAGTTTGTTGTGACCTCTGCTCAAACCACACTTGGGGAAACTAGGGAACTAGGAGGAAAGGGTGAAGAAAGATGGACATTAGCCTAGTATTTTGTAGCGACCTCAAACCACAATTGGACAAACTTGGTAAGTAGGAGGAGGAAAGGAGAGAGGAGTGAAGATGTAGGCCAAGGCCGTTGTATGTAGTTTGGAACCAAGTTTCTCATTTTAAATCCTTTGCATGGTTTTGACAAAATGGCAGCTCTCTTATAACCCTCATGTAGGATAAAGGTCAAAGATGAGTCATGGTGCTGTATCCCCTGTGAATGCCAGACTACCATACTAGACAATGTCTGAAGTAAGGGAGGGGAACAGTTTCTTCTTTAATTAAACATAGTTCCATGGTGCATCGCCACACCAGCAGCAGGAAGTGGTGGAAAAATGTGGAACAGGTGACAAGCCCCTCCCAGCCTTCAACATCTGTCTACATGGCTCACACACACACTATGCGAACAGCTGGCCCTCTCTCAGCCCCAGGAGTCAGTGCCAAGAAGCCACACTTTGCCCAGATCAGACAGCCACCCCGACCACTGTCAGTGTCCACAACAAAAGGATCACAGCATCATCGCACGTAGCTTAGCCCAGATAACACCACGTGTGCGTTTCAAATGGCACCCTATTCCCTATATAGTGCATTACCTTTGGCCAGGGCCCATAGGGTAAAATAAGTGCTGAGAAAAAGTAGTACCTGGGCAAAGGTAGTACACTAGGGTGCCAAAGGATCACACTTAAGCCCAGATATTCACTATCCTCTATCAGAGGCTCAATCAATCACAGAACACACACTAGTTAGGCAGAGATTATCACCTTTGTGTGTGCGTGTCCAAAGCCAAAAGATAGGATTCCTTGCATTCATCACTCCAGTCCCAGACCACCCCTAGCCTTTAGACCAGGGGTGTCAAATATGGCCTGCGGAAAATAATGGACCTACATTGAAACAGTTTCTTGATTGTGTCCATCTCGCCAATAATCACCTAAATGAAAGCTAGACAGTCAGGTAGTATAAAAAAATCAAAAAATGATGGACAGAGAACTATTTTTTGCAAATTTCGACGGAAAGGAAATATAACCAATTTTCAGTGCGGCCCTCCGGACCTCGTTGAAGAGCAAATGCGGCCCCCAGGTCGAAATAATCCTGACACCCTTGCTTTAGACTAGCTACAATTCAATTGCCAGACAGCCATGATTACATTTTCACTCAATCAATCATCCCTTGTTGATATTAGCCTAGGTGATACTATTACCAGTAAATTCACTGTTGGCTTTTTCAATATGTGTATTTGTGTGTGATGTGGGAAATGCATATCAAGTGCATGAAGTTGCTACAGCATACTTGCTGACCTCAGCTGTTGACCTCCGCTGAGATGTGTGGTGAGTGATATGGGGATCACACTAACACAAAGATTGTTTTTATATTTACAAGATATTTATGTGACCGCTCTAACAATGGAAATACATGTCTTCAAAGATGGAAGGCAGGCCAGAGGAGGGACCACTGGTGGAGCCATTCTAGCCAATGAGAGGGCAGGTACGCTTGTGAACAACAGGCCATAGAGATAGGTAGAGGACTCATCTTTGTATATGTGCCACTATTATATGTTCCATTAGAGCGTCTGTGACAGCATGGGCAGCGACATTGAGGCCATCTCCATTTTAAGTATGGCTGTGACAAAGTGACCATTTTTAACATTTAAACTGCCATTTTCTATCGGTTTTCCAATAAAACGATGAGAAATTTTCATAAAGTTCCATGTGAATTCACAAAGCAGCTGCCAGCAGAGGTTTGGGTCTCACGATGCATATCTTTCAGATGGTTCAGCATTGCACATGTACTATTACTGTACCTCAATTCCAACTCGCAAAGTTTGCATTTCCTTCTCATTTAACTTCTCACCGTATTGCCATACAGGACTTCGCTGCTGTCGCTTGCCCTTCTCTGCCATTTTTCCAACTGTTTAAGACGATGACGTAGTGGTGGAGAGTCGACTCCAAAATAATATTTTTCTCGACTCCAATAATTTATTCCTCGATTCCCCCGGAGTCAACTCCCATTTCTGATTTTCAAGATTTGATTCCGCTAGGATATTCTACTACGCGGAGTAAAACCTCTCGCTTCGCCTCTTCCTCTCTGACAAACATGCATAAGTCCATAATTAAATAACTGTTGCGAGTTGGACAGGTCAGGGGTTCGAAAGATTTCCCATGAGCATTATGACAAACGTATTTGTTACAGCTAAAAAATAAAAAATTCCGTCTTGCATGGAAAGAGGAAACTGATGAGAATGCTTCCCGTGTGTTCTTATCTAGTAGGAAAGCGTAGGCTATTTGTCAGTCACCGTGTTTTAACGCAAATACATTGATCAGCCCATTTAATAATCAATATCAGGGCAAGGGATTTGTTGTAAAATGTTTACGTTTGTAGCCATGTAAGTCCCGTATGTTTCAGGAACTTAGCTGCAGAGCCAAGCCCATTTCTAGATATAGCTGGGGGGATTTCAGAGTGAACTGTGACTAGCACCGTAGAGCTTCATACCCTATCTATGGGTGTGAGTTGAAATCCACTCATGTTAAGCCGAATTAGCCTGGGGCATTTCTGAAAACAACACGTCTGTGTTTACTGGCTTCCTTTGCTAACAATCTATGCGGCTGTCACACGATTTTCATTAAAATTGCTCAATAATGTACCACGTGTGTTCTGCAAACCACCCTACACGAATCTCCATTACGGGAAATCGATGTGTTAACGGGGAACTAGCTACGGTCGCTGCTCGCTACAAATACGTATCAAACTGCCTCTTCGTGAAACACGCCGAGTACAAATGCATGAAATATCTCGTGAAAAATAACGCTAACTGTTACATTATATAGCTACTGTTGTGCAATGCTTGCCATAAAAAGCGTTGCAGTGGGTAGTAGCATTGTAAGTAATGTTCTATCATGACCTACCCGCCGTTACCCGAACCGAAGACTCCGTTGCTGTTCTATTCCTTTCGTTCTGCTCAAGCAAGCCGCATGAAAAAAATCAAAAGGGCGGCTGCCGCGTGTGCACGTTTCTCCCGCTCGCACAGTAAACATACACCGAAACACACAAGCAATCCTGGCTTGTATAAACTTTAGAATGACGAGAAGTCCGATCCTGTCTGGAACGTCAACTCCGGAAGCAAATGTCACTTGACTAGCATTTCCTTAACCAAGAAGTAAACAATTTTTTCAGTTAGCTACTGTATAACGTTAGCAAGCTAACGTTACCCCTTTAGCTTCCTATTCAAACATGTCGATATTTGTGGCTCGTTATAATTTATTTGCAATTCTTTCAAAAATTGACAAATACATGTCGGTTATGATTAGCGTCTAAAAACAAGGCAATTGCTACTTACATTGTATCTTCCGAGATTAGCATCAACCGGCTTTCTACCGTCCTATCCGGAAGAAAATCCTGACCACTGTATGCCGAAGTCATGTTCAGGAGCTACAGTACAATTCACCACGCCGTAGTCTTTCAACAATGAAAGTGATGTCTACGTTAATGCCTCGAGATTAAACTCCTGCGCGACCACGAAGCGGGACAGGTGCAGGGAGGGGGCCCTTCTACTCAAAGCAGCAGAATGCGAATACTAGTCATCAGAAGCGGTTGACATTCGTCTTCTGCATCCCCCAACTAATTTCTCCTCCAATCCCCAGTTGAAAAATAGACTACAGGCGAGCAACTGTCAACTGCATGGAGCGAGAGAGGGGCGTGGCTACTTCCATTCCCTGTCAAGTATATCAAAAATGTTTGACTAGGCCAGGCTTCCAGTTATCTTGTTTGGCACTTCCATAGAATCCATACCTTATTTGACTATTTATTGTCAGTCTATTTGAAGCTGGCTGCAGTTTACACAAATGGCTCAATCTGACCTAAACGATATGCTTGGGAAATATGACAGGTGTTGATCGAAGGAAATGGAGACCCCCACATCTCCTGGCTAGACTACTACAGAACCAAGACAGACAATAACAGAAAGAGATGGATATTTATATGTAACAAAAAAAGGGAAAAGAGATGGACATTTTGTGAGAGGTAAGAGATTATCAGAGAAAGGAAAATTATAGGCTATGGCAACCCCATTCCATGAGTCCTTAGCTCAAGCACTTGGCTATTATTGAACCAATCAAGTAGTAATAGGAAATCCCCTTTCTATAATACTCCTCTCCAATAATTCAAATGAAATGCTCCACATTTTAGGTTGAGCCACTCGACTCCGAGTCCCCCCCTATTAGATTCTGGGCCAGTATTCAAAAAGCTCATCAGAGTAGGAGTGCTGATCTAGGATCAGGTAGCCCCTGTCCATATAATGATATTCATTTTTATCTAAAAGACAAAAGGATCCTATATCAGCACTACTACACTGAGACTCTTTGTGAATATAGGCCAAGAAGAAAATATCCTTAAAATTGTGTTTTTTTCCAGTCATCCTGAGTCTTTGCATGTGTCCCAAATGGCACCCTATTCCTTATGTAGTGCACTTCTTTTGGCCAGAGCCCAGCTTGCCATTTGGGACATTACCATTGCTTCGATAAGTGTCACAGGTCATGTTCCCCCTTTGTGGTATTGCTGTTGTTTTCTTGGGGGGTGGGGAGCCTGTCTTTCTTTGTTGAACTCGACTTGCTGGGTGAGGTTTCCCTATACAAACCCCCATCGAGGGGGGACTGAGATCACGGTTGTCAATTACTGTTTGTACCACAGCAGAGCAGAGCAGGCACCAAATGGAAGAAAACGGACTGAAACCGAGAGGGAGGGACTAGCTGAATTGTCCAATAAGAAATGCGTGTTTCCTCTTTCCATTGCAAAACGTTTTGCAACGTTGTGCCCTAATAAATACAACCCGGAGCAGAGAGGGGCTGGCGGCCTAATTAATTGGACTGGGATTGTTCACTCGCAGCAGCTGCACATTCACAACCCCCAAAAATATTATTGGGAGTGTCTCACCAAGTTTAAAGTTTTATTAGTCATACGGGATACGCATGGTATACATCGTCCAACAAAATTCCTACTTGCAGGTTCATTCTGCAGACTCACTGATAAGAAATATCCTATTTGTGAAATCCCGGTTAATCCTTGTATCCATTGCAATTTTCAAGGCAGACTACAGTGCAGATTGTGTTGATGTTAGAGTTTCAAAGAGTTATGCGCTATGCATAGCCTACACACATACAATATGACTGTGACCTATTTTACCAAATAGGCTACATTCAGACAGGCACATACACAGTCTTATGAATGCCCATTAGGATTTAGGGGCTGGGGCTGCTATAAAAAGCATCTATCAAAGCATCTCTTGGTTCAGATATTATGTTGGAATGTTATGCATTTGGACTCTAATCTAATATTACTATCTCACACAACATCAAAGCTTTTGACTAGGCTATAATTGTGACTAATAATTTTTTAAACATTGTTTACATCTTTCTATTCTGTGGTATTCCTTTGCAATGTGGGACTATCCAGACAATCCCTAGCCCCTACAAATCAATTCATCCAGCATTTGATTTGCACCCCTTCTTAACCAATGGTGGAGCGGGTCAAGTAAAAATAGGCCAAATGTACAGAGCAACCCAAATGGGTTACATCACCTCTGTTTCTATATGTCGCCATGAACTTGCTGCCTGCCCATCTGCCTGGCTGACATACTTTCTCTCAGCTCTGAAAGCATTTGCAGAATGGCGACCAACTGAAGCTGGCACTCTCAAAATGGAGAAGGAGTGGGAGAAGATCTGAGTATGACTCAATGTTCTAATCTAATCTGAAAATAAATGCCGATTTTTATAGCTCGGCTGGCTGTTATGTTGGTTAACACTAACCTTTTTAGATTGGTTTTGAGTTACGTTTTTGGTGCTGGTAATACTGGTTTATGCAAATGTCTTATTGGATAATGTAAATGTTTCTGTGCCCTGCAGTAGACTTACAGCTCATGTTGGTTTTGTCTGAAGGCGTTAGGGCAAGGCCTGGATGGATGGACTTGTTCGCACCACTGTCCTGTTCAGTGGCCTCTCTTTCATACAGTGGTAGATCCCTGTCCGTGCATCACTGACTGACAGACTGACAGAGCCTCATTTCATCATCTTTAAATTGTGATTTCTCATCTGCCCATTTTCTTTCTTCAATTTCTTTTCATTTCAGGGTGACGGAACTATCCCAATCCCTGTGGACCAATACATTAGTATTGTGTATTCACAATACATTGGTTTTGAGTCAAATAATATAAGAAGACACATGTATTTATTCACGATTGATTTGATGATAACTTCAATCAATAGGATCAATAGGCGATTTTGTAAAGATGACTGAAGGGGGTGGATTTTGAGCAGGGGGGAGATTTTCCCCCAGATCACAAGATAGATTGTGTCTCTTTTCTTTTCAGTGAAAAACATACACATCACAAATCTACCCTAACACACCATGGCATGAGAATGAATAGTTCAACTGAAAACAATGAATTGCTCCTATAACAATATCCATTATTCACCACCACAGGGACAAATACGCATTAAAAACACTGGCTAAAGCCCCAACCCCAACCACAACAAAAGCCAGCCAGGCTAGATCTGATTCATTCTGAATGAACGAGGGGCCAACCCAACATCCAAGGACAACGTACCTCAGAGATCCTAGGTCCTCATTCCTGACGGGGACACCGGCGGAGGAGGCAGAGGGGGGACAACGCATGCTGTTGACGTATAAGCTCTGCACCAGGGCTAGCTCCGACGAGTGTTCCAACATCGCACGGTACTCTTCCAGAAAAATCCACCTTGTGTGTGTTAAATGGACACTTCTCGTCTTCTCACTATTTCTCCCTCTCTCCTCTCTATCTGGGTAGCTTATTTCTCTCTCTGTGTGTCTCTCTCTCTCTCTTTCTGTGTCACTCTCTATCTGTGTCTCTCTGTCTGTTTTTCTCTCCCGCCCCTCTCCTTCTCGCCCTCGGATTTAGTGCAGTAGAGCGGCGCACACCCCTTTTGCTGACTGGCGTAGCTGAAATAAGCCTTTTTGACAGCTCATCGTGGGCTAATGCATTGTGCAGCCCGCGGCAGCCCGGTTCGCAGGCTGCAAAGCTGCGGCCACAGTAGTGCTCTTCCTCTAATTGACACCCATATTAGGAAGAGTCCAGGAAATTGGACAAGGATGATTTATTCCTACTGTCACACTGAGTAGACTAGGATGCATGGGGTTAATAAGGGGAAACATCTGCAAAGTTTGCCAATGGTTCTCTGGATCTGTTTCTTTCTCAGGTCCTGGGGTTGAGGGGGTTTTGGCATGATCCCGGTTTCATGTTTTGCATGTATTTGAATGCTTGGATACAGGGGAAATACAGGGCAAATGTCGGTCAAAACCAGGTGTTGCTGTGACAAAGCAAATACTGTACATACAGGCTAAACCTCAGGGACTGCACTTGTGGTCGAACCACAGTCTATGGGTCAAACAGGGGAATCAATCCAACAAGCAAAGCACCACACCCTTTGTAACAGATACAGGAATATGTATGTAAAAACTGGATTCTGAAGTGTCCAATTTTTCTAACTACTCCGGCTACTAACTCTGCAATTACATGCAGGTCTTTGCCCAAGATTTAAGCTGTGAAAACACCAAATATTTAACACCAGGAAATATTTATTGGGGCCTGGCTTCTATCCAAAACCGCTATCCAGTCCAGTCATACCATCACTTCCTGAATAATCTCCTCTCTGACAGGAGGGTGTGCATATGTCACATGTTTCATGTTCCCTGGACTGACTGATGATAAACCAGAGGATGAGAAGAGAGAGGTACAGAGAGGGGGAGAGAGAGGAGAGACAGAGGGAGTGATAGAGACCTTGAGAGAGGGGGAGACAGAGCAAACCCTGTCTACCTCTATGTACCCTCTCTCAAACTACAGTATGTTGTCATTATTACACTGGGGCAGAGATGGAGAGCATAGCTTGCTGTATGTTTAGCCAGTAAGCAAACATTCTGGTAAGCATAGGTACCTTTTAATAAAGGAAGGATTACGCTAGTCTCCTCTCTCAGATGGCATTTTGTTTGCACGTTAAGCCTGACGTGAACAGAAATCTCTCTGCAATACTTTGCTATATGAAATATATCCCCAGTGAGATATGAGCTGCATTCCAAATGGCACCCTATTCCCATATAGTGCACTACTTTTGATCAGAGCCCTATGGGCCCTGTTCAAAAGTAGTGCACTATAAATGGAATAGGGTGCCATTTGGGATACAACCATGATCATATCCCATGGCAGTGTAGCGTATTAGTTGTTTGACTATGTCAAATACTAGTGTGGTCCGTTGTCATATCTGTATGTAGTATAGCCAACTGTTCTTCTAATGTGTGTCCATTGTCTTGTTTGGCATGACAACACATGGTAGAGATGTTGGCTATAGCACAAACAGATCTGGTAACTAGGCCAGTCAAATGCACTCTCAACTTCTTCACATAAGATAAGCACACACACACACGTGAAGGGCATGTACATACAGTAGCCTTCATACAGTATATTACTAAAACAGGATCCAAAACTAGTCGTTTTACATAAAGTGTTGTCACAGACCCTGATTGGCCATCATCAACTGACAACAGGAACCAAAACATGAAGAGGCATACCCTTATGTAGTTTCAAAGTACTGACCTAATTTGCATAGTTACTCAGCATAGCTTATACACCTACAATACAGAGTTACCAATATTAAAAGAAGTATGGCATGCAGTCAGATCATTTCCTGTTTATAACTTGATGTTGTTTAAAATGACTGCTTTAGTACCGTCATTTGCATGGCAACTCACCATAGCCCATCCGGACTACACTACAGTGTTATCGAAGTGAAGAGTATGGCAGAAAGGAATACAGTAGGCAGAGAAAATAAACTAGAAAATATTTGACTATGCCATGCAGCCAGATTATTTCCTGTTGATGCATATAGTTACTCCTTTCATTCCAGGTACATAAAGAAACATCCTAGTGCTTTACCCTTACCACAACTTTAAGGTGAGATTTGCTCTGTAATATCCTTCTCTGACTCTGAGAGCCCAGGAGAAAAGAAATCTACGCCTCCAACCCCCATAGGCGTTCTTTATTGCTCGAGGAAGAGAGATCTCTTCGAGAGAGCTCGAGGGAGACCTACTCGTCTCTCTCTCTCCTCTCTTCGGGATCGAATCTTCTCTATCCCTCTCTCTCGATCTTACTCTCTAATCTCTCTCTCTCTCTCTCTTTCTCTCCTCTCTCTCTCTCTCTCTCTCTCTCTCTCTCTCTCTCTCTCTCTTCCTCATTTTCTCTCTCTGACTTTAAAGAGGAAAGTCATTTTAATCAGGGTAATGTATGCTGTGTGTGTGTGTTGCATGTGGGCCGGGCGGGTATCATAGGGGATAAGACTGACATGGTGAAGGGGATCCTCCATTCCTCTGATCTGAGCATGAATCCCTCTGGTTTCAGCCCTACACTATTAGTTCCGCTGACATAAATATTTAAACGCTGATGTTGAAATCCTAGCTAGTCTTTGTGATGTGTTGCTGCACCATATAAAGCAGAGAGCAACTAAAGTTATTGTATTCTTGGCCTGCACTAATGAACTGATAATAGTATCTCCTGAAATACCTCTGATCGAAATGTAACATTCTTACACTGTACAGTCGTGGTCAAAAGTTTTGAGAATGACACAAGTATTGGTCTTCACAAAGTTTGCTGCTTCAGTGTTTTTAGATATTTTTGTCAGATGTTACTATGGTATACTGAAGTATAATTACAAGCATTCCATAAGTGTCAAAGGCTTTTATTGACAATTACATTACGTTTATGCAAAGAGTCAATATTTGCAGTGTTGACCCTTCTTTTTCAAGACCTCAGCAATCCGCCCTGGCATGCTGTCAATTAACTTCTGGGCCACATCCTGACTGATGGCAGCCCATTCTTGCATAATCAATGCTTGGAGTTTGTCAGAATATCAGTCTGTCCCTGATGTTTTTCCTGGAGAGAAGTGGCTTCCTCGCTGCCCTTCTTGACACCAGGCCATCCTCAAAAAGTATGGCATGCTGCCATTCCTGAGCAAGCTCTGCACTGGTGGTGCCCCGATCCCGCAGCTGAATCAACTTTAGGAGACGGTCCTGGCGCTTGCTGGACTTTCTTGGGCGCCCTGAAGCATTCGTCACAACAATTGAACCTCTCTCCTTGAAGTTCTTGATGATCTGATAAATGGTTGATTTAGGTGCAATCTTACTAGCAGCAATATCCTTGCCTGTGAAGCCCTTTTTGTGCAAAGCAATGATGACGGCATGTGTTTCCTTGCAGGTAACCATGGTTAACAGGGGAAGAACAATGATTTCAAGCACCACCCTCCTTTTAAAGCTTCCAGTCTGTTACTCTAACTCAATCAGCATGACAGAGTGATCTTTAGCCTTGTCCTCGTCAACACTCTCACCTGTGTTAACGAGAGAATCACTGACATGATGTCAGCTGGTCCTTTTGTGGCAGGGTTGAAATGCAGTGGAAATGTGTTTTTGGGATTAAGTTCATTTTCATGGCAAAGAGGGACTTTGCAATTAATTGCAATTCATCTGATCACTCTTCATAACATTCTGGAGTATATGCAAATTGCCATCATCAAAACTGAGGCAGCAGACTTTGTGAAAATTAGTATTTGTGTCATTCTCAAAACTTTTGACCACGACTGTACCTGCTGAAAATGCTGTATCTATTACAGAAACATTGACGTTATATTATTCAGGAAATAACATCCATTTCAAAGTAACACTTTCCAGAAGGTGAATAGAACCTGAAAGGAAAGTCTGCACATCCGTAAACCAACCACGTGTTAGGCTACTGAAAGACACGTGAAAGGGTTTGAGACCTCTGTCTGTCTCTCTTCTCTCTCACTCTTTCTCAGTCACGTGCTCCCCATGACCCAAAGTGACAGGGTCAGTTTGTCTGGTGACTCGATGTTCACTAGCACTGCAGGAATTCTTTTTTACGCAAACGGAAAACAACTACCAGCAACTTTCTAATTTCACTAGTGGTTGCACTTTCAGATGGGTTTGATTGTGGAAAACAGATTCTGAAACCGCTGTCTGTCTTGTTTTGTTGAAACCTCCATCCACATGCTTTGGTTCTGGGTGTTTGAGGTGTCTGATAGTTTTAAGTAAATAAACAGGTTGTGAATTTAAGCTATTTTTGGCCTGGGAGAAATACTCCAGTCCAAGCCCTGTGCTAATCAGCTTTCATTGGGTAGTCTAAACACCTTCAGAGGAACAATTTATGATTGAACAGATGCCCCGGCAAAAGCTGTGACTATTTGAAACTTGACACCCAGCAGCACGTGGGGGGGTGGGGGGGTGGGGGGGAAGAGAGAAAGAGAGTGGTGTGGGGAGGGAATATTAACTACCCAACTCCATAAGAGAAATGTGGCTAAGATTATCGACAGGACTAGACAGTCATGGTCATCACGAGAGGAGGAGGTCATGTATCTCTAGTCCTTCGTTACTCCTAGACGTCACTATCTCCTTGTAGGTCTAAGGTCTCACATGTCGCCAATATATCTTCTACTGTCTCATATATCACATCGGAGAGGATACAGTTTGCTTGTTAAAAGGATTTGTACGACATTGACATTATTCTTACATTAGCAGGGAAGAGCTTGTGTAAGTCCAGTTTCATTTCAAATGGCAAACTTGTGTACAAAATGTTTTAACTCTGCACGTATAATGCTTCATGGCTTTTTATGAGCCTACCACACTTTCTTATA